GCATTCGCCCAAGTCAATAGCAGTAAAATGTAGAAAGTTTCGTTTGAATACGACAGGTAGAAATATTTATTTTGAATTTTTGAAAATATCGGGGTTTTACTTGCACAATAAGGAGTAAACAGGGGTAATTTTACTTTTAGAATCGATTTCCGACGTTTCCCGAGTGCTAGGATGTAAACATCGCATTGTTTCGGATATTTGAACTTAAACTTCCGGTCAAAGTTCTAGTGTAAAATTTAGATATTTTGAAATGCCGAAATAAAAGATGCAAATCTGCAGATTCAAGCTTGAAAATAACACCCTAAACTTAATAGTGTGTTGGACTGATACCAAAAAGATACGTTGAAAGGAGCCGAAGTTATATTTGGCGAAAGGTATAGCTTATAGTGATACATTGTTTACATTGTTCGAGTATGGCTAGTCAACATTGTTTGATTATATGGCTAGTTTATATTTTGTGGCTATTTAACATTGTTCGATTTATGCAGGGTGTAGAAAAAAACCCCAAAGAAATATGAATTTGCTCTCAATTTCGCAGAACAGCCTATTAGTATTCAGTTTTTAATGTATGTAGTTTCTTTGGGTACTTATAATGTAGAATGATGGAAAAAAATTTCTGGCGAACTCAAATTTTGTGAACCAGGGGTGTGTGTCTTTTCCAACAAATTAAAAATGGCTTGCGCACGAAATTTAAAAGCATATTTATTAATAGATGGAAAATTCAGTGTTGGGTTTTTATTGTTGTACAAAATTTCAAGCAATTTTGTTCAGTTTAAGCTCTTTAACTATTTACGCAAACTTACATTTTTAGTCGGTGGGGCTGCACCGGTCTTGTAAGTTCGGTTTTAACTTGGCCATGGCCAGTTGGTAACATAACACCAGCCGATCTGTGTGATGAGTGACAACAGCATAAACGCTTATAATTTTAACACATACGATACACTATACTGTATACTATACATTGCTACATGGTTGTACTTGTTTTAACCATTAGCGCTAACTGCCAGGCAAACTGCAAACTTCGAGAATCAATATTTTCGCAAGAACAAACACGCTGTTCTTTGTGGTACTACTTGTACTTAAAGTTGCATATTTCATCGTCCCAGCGACTTAACGCTTCGTGAAGCGTCTTGTTTCCTAAAAATAAGCTATTTGCAAGCTTAATTAATGCCTTATGAATTTGAATTTATTAATAAAATATAGACTTTGCAACCATGAAGGTTGAAATACATCTATCATTTACAGGGTTGGTTGATTAGAAAAATATTGTATATTTACAAAAACATATTTACTATAATATAGGAAGAGTTTAGAACTTCTAGTATGATATTACCATTATTTACAAATAAAAATGTATGTAATTTATAGTTACTCAATGTTTATTATAGATCGTTACAGACGAGGGAATGTACGAATTTTTGAAGCGATTTGTCCGACAATTAATTGGAACGAGTTTATTCGATGTACGTAGATTGTAGCTTGGATGTTCGGCTGGTTCAACTAGTTCGGAAAGAGGACTAGTTTGCGGAAGAACCTTTTTTCTAAAAAAATTTGAACATAACAGTTCGCGCCTAGAATACAATGTTGGGATATTGAGATCTGATAAGGATTCTTTGTATGATGACGATGGGTTAATTATTTTCAACGTTCTTGACTGGATCCTTTCTATTTCTTTGGATAGGTATTCAGGTATGCTATAATGCCAAACTTGGGCGCAATACTCCAAGATGGGTCTTACACATGAAAAATACACTGATATCAATGTTTTAGTGTCACAACGAGCTCGCTTGAGGAGTCTAAGTAGCCTCCTCCGCAGGCATCTCACCCGACGAATCGGGTGGTGGGAAAAAGTTTGGTGAGATGCCTGCCATAAATCGACACAAAAATTTGCACTGCGCATACCGGCTCGAGCATGCAAATTTCGACAAACTCAAACTTAGGGGGAGTAGAAAGGGCTTATGGCAAGTGTGGCTTACAAGACGAGTAAAACTGTAAAATTAACGAATGATCCTGCTCTTCAACATTGCAAATACAAAGGGAACTTTAACTAAGGAGCTGAGAACGTTATCGAGAGCCGACGCAGCGATTTACTGGGATTGTTTAGATACGAGTGACTTTGCAGAGCAGTGAATTCACGCTGTCGTTGATTCATGTCAAGACATTTGTCAAGACAAGGTTTTAATTGAAAGTTTATCATTGATATATACAAATTTCTATTCAAATTGTTGACGGCATTTTATATCATAAGCTGAAAGTGCAGTGATTTAGTCGAAATTATAACACGAAAAGGAACGATCGAAAATTGTCAATATATAAATGTAAATTCAACTGTTGACATATGTGACTGTGCCTGCGTATTAAATATATAAACACCTCTTGCCTTGTTTTATAAATACGCTTGTATGGAAGGAAATCATTAATAAATTAGTCTTAAACAAATAGCTTTCTTATTGTGGAATACACTGTGCAATTTATCCCTTGGACAAAGACAAAGTTTTCAAACTTGAGTGTCTCAGATGTGGCGAAATTTAGCAAAAGCTTTCTTAATTAAATCAGTGGCCCTGTTTTATATATGGGTGTGAGTTATGTAGACATAAGGGAAAGGACAACTGGAATTTAATAAGAATCTAATAGTTTTCCATGTGGTGCAACAGGGTATAAAGACCTGTCTTAATAACATTTGCCTTGGATTTGTTAATTAACCATTGGAGACATTACATACATTCCATTTTGCTTGCCAAAGTTTACAGACATAATATTTACATGGGTAAAATCCATTTTGCAAGGCATATTTCCCTATAACCATACAAACAGTCACTGACGAAACTTCCCAGTGATGGACGTGTTTTCAGGGATGGATCCAGCATGATCTGGTAGGGGGTGCTCTGTCAGCTATGGTGTCGAGTGACTCGAGTTGTGTCGTCATGTGTGCAGGCCGCCATTAATATACAGCAACAGCAGTATTTTGACAATTTGGCAAAACAACCTCCATGTGGTAAAGTGTACTGTGTACAATATCTCATTTTGTCTGTAATATTTTTTGCTTTATCATGAAAAATAACACCCCCCCCCCTGGTTAGGGCTAGGGAGGGGGTGTGCACCCTCCCCCCCAGTAAATCCATCCCTGCATGTTTTGCTATTAATTGTTACATTACAACCACCCAAAAGTCTTTCAATGGTGGGTATATATTAATTGTAAGCTGTGAAGCCGTTTAGATTAACCCATTGTCTGCACTCTCCCCTGGAATAGTAAAATTGTCTGATGTTAGACAGAGTAAAAGCAGGGGCGTGCCGGCAAGGGATGAGACAACAAGAACTTGTTGTGGGCCCCTGGCATTGTAGGCTCTTACATGATACATGCCAATCTAGATTTATTGTATTTAAAACAAATATATGTCAAGAGCAATTTTATTTAAACATGAACAAGGGAGATACATATAATTAGAGAATATGCAGATACATCATAAATTTCTTTATTTATCAAATCATGGATGTCATGTGGCCAGCACGTGTAACACAACTAGGTATATACTATATAAATAGAATGAGGTTGTTACATTGTCACAATGCAACTTAATGGGTTTAGCATATTCACATGATATTAATTAAGGGGGTGAGTTCCAATTAATTATTCAACCAAGTGAAGCCTGGTTCACATATACCTGCTGTTTGTTGATGGGCTATTGTTGTTAAAAGTTCAACTAAATAATTCACAAAAGAATGTATGCATCAACAGTTGTAAACAATGATAATGCAGGCATATGTAAACCAGGCTTAAGATGCCAACAAAATCTTGATTTTTGTAGTAATCAAATTTCTGGATTTGATATTTCCAAGTTGTTATCTCTCCTCACTTATTGAAATGGTTGCTTCAACAGAAAGATCTTTTCCTTTTATATATCAATTCACTTAGCATGTTGCCAAATGTCTGATGATTTGACTAAAATTAGTAAAATATAATCAAAATGTCCACCCCTTCATACAAATAAACATGCCAAAATAATAGTCCAGAAAACAATACAATTTAATATAATCCCTTTATTTAAATTAATTATACTTTTCGTATCGTTCCATTCTTCGTTTTGCGTTCGAAATTATGCCAGGTAATTTCCTCAAATTGTAGTTCCTCGGCTGAACAGTGATTGATACAAAATGTAAACATTTGGCTGCTTCGAGCGAGCGATTCAGTTAAATTTGCACGTCGTTTTTAGACCGCGAGAGACATTGCGATATATAATCCTTTCAATTGATCAACTAATTTTCGTATAACTTGAATATTTCGATGCATTATAAAACATTTTTAAAGTTAATACTCGCAAGCTTCGCTCCTCGCCTGAAGATTTCAAACTGAATATATAATTAGGGTCAAAAGCCTACTTAGGGGGTGGGGTACATTGACACGGCCACAAGGTACATTGACACGTCCATTTTGTTCGATTTATGGCAGGCCTCTCTCCCAGAAAATTTTTTTTTCAAAACCCATTCGCAGGCTAGAACCCATAGAGAGGTCTGCGGAGGAGGCTAGAGTCTAAGCATGTAAAGGCGTTTTGCGGATTTTTTCACTATTTAAGCCACGTGGTCATTCCACTTTAGGTCGTCCTTGAAAATTAAGCCAAGGAGTTTAGCGGATTTCGCAACTTCAATGGGCTGTTCGTCAACGGTCATTGGAGGGAAATTTGGATTGTTTTTCCAAAAACAAACAACAATTTCTTTGCATTAACGGAGGTTTAAGGACATGTTATTTCTTGCACACCACTGCGTAATTCCTTCTAAAATAGTTTGAAAGTTCGAATCTTGGTTTCTAGAAAGGGTTTCTAAAACAGACGAATCGTCAACATATTTCCATCTATCGTCCCAATCAACCAACAAATCGTTTATCATAATCATAAATAGAATCGGACCTAAGACAGTGCCTTGTGGAACCCCACCGTTCACTGGTTCGAAACTTGAGGTGTATTTACCTATCTTCACTCGCTGTTTCCTGCCAGTAAGAAACTGTTTTACCCATGCGATAAGAACGGGATCGACGGCCATTTCCTCCATCTTCTTGATAAGAATATGGTGATCAATCTTGTCGAAGGCTTTACTAAAATCCAGAAGCAGCACACGCACGCATTGGTCAGATTGGTCGGTAGTTCCATACAGATGACAAAAAACGATAGAAGAGCGTGAGTTGTAGATAAGCCGGCGAGTGATCCGAATTGTTTCCTGTCAACGAGGTGTCTGATCTGTGACATAATCCACTCTGCGACAAAATGTTCCAAGGTTTTTGAGAGAATTGGTGTTACAGATAATGGGCGTAGATCATTTTCAATTTCCTTAACCTTATCTGTTTTACGAATAGGTATTACATCTGCTACTTTCCATGAAACGGGTACGACTCTCTCTTGGATTGACGCGTTAAAAATTTCAGCAACGGGTGATGAGAGTTCCATGGCAAACTCGTTTAAGACCCAACTTGGTAAGTTGTCAGGACCCGAGGCTTTAGTGCGTTTGAGGTTGGAGAGCTTCGTAAAAACATCTTCAGGGGAGATGTGGTATTTTGAAATAATTCCGTTAACTACTGCAGGATCAGTTTCAACGTTTTCCAATTGGCTGTTTAGAGATGGTTGAAAGTTTGTGATACACAGGAAGCTTTCGTTCATTTTTGTTGCTAATTCGGTTGAATGGAATTCTTTGCCCGATACAAAAACACTGGATACTGGTAATTTCTTAGGAAGTCCTCCAAGTTGTTTGATGGATTTCCACCAGGAAGCTACATTGTCACAGTTTTTTACCTTATTTGCAAAAAAGGAACTCCTAAGACTGTTATTTAGCCTGTTAACTTTATTTCTCAATTTTTTGTAAACAGGAGGGTCTTTGGACATTGCTTGTTGTCGTTGCTGGATTAGACTCTTCAGTTCAGGAGTAATCCAAGGCCTATCAGTTGGGTGTTGTTTGATTTTTCGGAGTGGGAAGAAAATTTCGATAGCAAAATTTAGCAAAGATTGGAAAGCAGCGACTTTTTCCGTACAGTTTGATAGTGTTTCAAGGAATGACCAATCAGTAGATGCTAACCATCTTCCAAAACAGGACTTCATGCTTGGCTTTACATTCCTTCTTCTCCGCCTTTGTCTAATTTACACATGTCGGCAATATGCAGTTTATAAAAGCTATTAAGCATGCGAAAGGCTGATTTTTTAGAAAAAAATGAGTAGTTAAAGGGCTTAAATTAAGGAAAATTGTCTGAAATTTTGTACAGGAATTAAAAACCCAACAAATTTCCCATCTGTTAACTCAAAATATGATTAAAGCTTTTAAATTTTGTGCGCAAGCCATTTTTACTTTGTTGGAAAAGATACTCCCCCCCTGGTTCACAAAATTTGAGTTCGAGAATTTTTTTTCATTATTCTACATTATAAGCACCCAAAGAAACTATATATAAAAACCTGGATACCAATACATGCTTTGCGAAATTGAGAGCAATTTCAAATCTGTTCAGTTTTTCTCCGATTTTTATCGGATTTTCACTAAACGTTCGCCAGTGCATGCAAAATATGGTAAAGTTGTAAAATTGACAAACAATTAAAAATAATGTAACAATTATTCTAGAAAATCTTAAATCACGCTTTTGAGTTGCATGTTTTCCTGCCGGTTTTAAGATATATTTATGAAAATATCATTTTTATACAGTAAATAGTTAAAACCGTGGCAAATTGTTTATTTCCAATCGTCATTCTTCTGATATGACGATTTCTTTGACGACTGCAATATATTTCTGAATCGTTTGAATGAATTGCTCCTTATTGTTAAAGTATCCAAAATTAGAAAAAAAACGAACACAATTTTGAAACTGATGTCTTTAGCTAGCTATATGTTCTGTGGAAATTTGAGAAAAAATCATTAAAACTCGCAGGAGATCAACTCGTTTGAAAATCAGTAATTGCCGTAAAATTCTTCGGGAGAAAATTGAATTTGAATATTACATTTTCAATGTTTTTCTTATTGCAGCAAAATGTATTTTGTTAAATAACTCTGCGAGTTTTCAACATTTTTCGTTCAAAAGAACTAGTTTAATGCTTTCGTGGAAACCAATAAAAAATTTTAGGCAAAATTAACCTCAAAGGTGTTCTGTAAACCTTAATTTAATAAGTACTCCAATGTTATTATACTCGGCGCTTCTATTTAGCATAGAAGCACCGCGTATAATAATAAAAGCACGAAGCATCGAGTATAATGATAGAAGCACTGAGTGTAATGCTAAAAGCACTGCGTACAATATTAAAAATACCGAGCCTAGGATACCAAAAGTTAGCGAAGTGCTCCCGTAGGCAAACCCAAAGGGAAATAATATGCACTTAGATTCGAGAGAAAATAAAACTAAGGGAACAGACATTATGCGTTCTGATATATGGCGACGAACAAAAATCAACATTCAACAACATTCCCGCTACAACAATTGCGTTTTATGACAAAAACGCTATAGTGTAAACGAGTTTAAAATTGAAAGAACCTACTTTGACCGGTTTCAGTCGCATATCCACATTCTTCATTTGAACATAAACTTGGAAAATCGTAGTTTCTCAGCCTAGTCCCAGTCGTTCTGAAGGAAGCGCGAGAAAAACGTGGATGTAGTACGAGATTGGGACCTAGCTGTGACGTCACCGCTAAAGGTGCTTCAGAACGCCTAGCAGATTTCAGTATTTTTAATATGGCGGAAAATTTATATATACAAATAACCTTGTATAAATACGACAATGTTCGTTGATCATGTTCGATGTCTCCATAACCAAATTCAAACTGTATTAAAAATGTGCTCAATTAAAAAATATATACAAATTTACGATACCGAGTCTGAGCAATGATCGTATAATCGTTGATGATATTTATATACTCGCAAGATGTGATCAACACTAGACCACGATACTGGTATACACTGACAACTACGCTTTTAGTTGACAGTTTTAAGTAGCTGAGGAGATATTTGCCTGACATGACTGCGTTGTCAAAGCTTCTAGATATCATTTAATATGGATTTATATTTTAGTAAACACGAGTCATATTTAGCCCGTTATTCCATTCTGACCGTATGGTAGCGAAACGTAACCTATTTCATTGTTCCGACAGCATTAGAGCAGAACTAATGACTTAATTATAAACGCAAAGGAAATTTCCATAACATTTTCTATTTACAAATGCGGTATGCTTTGTAACCAGGCCAGGGACCACTTTTTTGAAATCAGGGACCATTTTACCGAAATCTGCTAGTCTCTCTCGCTGAAGCGTTGCGCACAGCACACCCAGGCATAAAACTTTTAAGACTCATTTAAATATATCAAAGCAGCGAATAGAGAGAGAGCCTGGGACTAGGCTGGTAGTTTCTAATTATACTAGTTGTGCCGTAATTTGTTGTGACCACAAATCAGCCAATCACATTCGGTATTCACTCTATAGCTATATAACAATGTGCCTTAATAGAAGTGCTTACGTCACACGGTTTTGCATATAAATAGTAAGTAAATATTTCTTACATGTTTCCCAAATTGCATTGCTATTGTTACCAGTGTTTGAAGCCCATAATTCATAAACACTTCGCTAGTATTTGAAATCATAGACAATTGAACGAGTGGACTAGGAACACAGGCTAAAGCGCCAATGTTGTTGACGTGACATCCGTGATACGGCTTGGTATAGTGATACGTACGTTTTAGGGCTAGTTTCCACTCAGGAAAATTATCCGTGGATTGGAACGGACAAGAACATTTTTGTGGTTTGATAGTTTAATAAAATCGCACTTTTTCCAGTAAAGTTACTGAATTACAAGGTGATTACAAGTGTAAAATAGAGGTATAAATATATATACATCAATTAAGATTATATGAAATCTAACAAAAATAGGAATAACTAATCGTTTACTATAAGACTACTAGCTATTAAAAAGGAGTTTTTAAAACGTTCGGTCTTAAACTTCGGAATATCAACTGTCCTTTCGTTCCTTACATTATAAAAAGGTATTTTCTTACTTATAGATATGAGATTAAAAAGTTTTTAGCGCGAGTATTGATTTGTTATAGTGATGAAAATACATAGGACTCTAACAGATAATTTGATACATTTATTTTACTTTACAATTGTGGAGTCGTCATTTAATATCTAGCGATGAGTTGATTACTCGATAGAGCGCAAAGCTAAGACTGTCTTACTAAGAATATTTACAAGTTATTTTATACGCGAGTTAGTAGAGGCGAGGCGGAAAAGCAATTAAGATTAGTGTCAAGATAATTAAGGCAAGATATAAATATGTACAAGTGTTGGCTGCCAAGAGGAAATTTTATGTTAATAGTATTTGCGGCGTAAACTGATTAAATCTAGGCGAGTCTGCTTCCTAAAAGGTTTAAAATAATATGACTAAAATGCTTGTAGAAGTTCCAAAAGTTATTAATGTCTTTGAGCCAAAACAGGATAATATCCGCTTAGTGATATCGGATGACCATCACTACAAGTTTACGACTAGGGTTCGCCAATATTTTATTAAAAAAGTTCTCACAAGATTTATTTCTTCTTTGTCGGAGTGTTGATAGTCCGCTCGTAACAAGAGAGTCTTCGTATTTAAATCCTGGGAGCGCAATTGAGAGTGTACGCTTTTGAATTCGTTCAATATCGTCACTAAGATACGTTGGCAAAGAATAATTGAACACATTTGAGGCATATTCAAGGACCGGTCGAACACATGTCGTATAAAACTGTATAATATCTCCGGCTGGCACGTTTGCGCGTTTTAACTGAACCAAGAGGTATAAACGCTTAGACTGTCTGTACCAGTGTTGGTAGTACCAATGTGAAAATGCTGTGCTGAGTGGTTATATTACTACCTAAAAATAAGCAGAAACTCGACGTTTCGAGCGAAGGCCCTTCGTCAAGAGTTGGTAGCAGGGTCGGGGAAAATACACGGGCTTTTATAAGAGTATGAAAGCATCACGTGACAAAAAATAAACCAATTAGATGGATTTAATCATAACCAAGTGTTAAACAAAATATGTAAATCGCATTACAGAATATAATATAATTAAAATATAAAAATAAACAGGAAGTTAAGACAATTACTACAAAAAATAATCAAAACAAAAGTTAACAAAACACGAGTGGAAATAGGGTAAAAGTAATAAATAGAGGTTGTCAATGTCTGCTATAGGGTGGACAAGGGTGGACAGTGCCAAGTTTGGATATGAGGCGCATTTCATGTCGTTTGCGGCTATCGTTGCTTCCAGAAATGGGACAGAAGACTTGAATTAACAAATCTGAAACACTGTGATTGCCATCATTAAAATGTCTGGCAACAGGTTGGTTAGCATCATTGCCAATAACTGCACGCCGATGCTCATCAAAACTTGTCCTTAAACATCTTCCAGTTTCCCCAATGTAAAGCATGCCACATCTGCTGCAAGAGATGCAGTAGATGAGATGGGAGGAGGAGCACGTGAAATGGTGCTTGATGTGAAATTCAGAATTGGTGCCGAAACAATAGTGGTGGAATCTATAAAATCACAGGTTTTACATTTCGACGACAAGCAAGGAAAAGTGCCTATCTGTGACGTCAAAACCTGTGCTAGGGAGCTATGGACAAGGGATTCACGGATATTTTTGCTGTGTCGAAAAGAGACTAAGGGGTTATCGGAAAAAATGGAAGATGTTTCAGGGTCGTTTTTCAAAATGTGGAAATTCTTGTTGATGACATTTCTAACTTTGAAATTGAAAGGATTATAGTTTTATACTAGGGGGATATTGTTGTTGCCTGTGACATTAGACACAGGGTCTGTGAGGGTGTCAGAACGGGGAATTTGGGAGGCCTTCAAAAAGGCAGTGTCTAATAGAGAGGTAGGATAACCACGCTGGACAAAAAAGTGTCTCATTTCCAAACTTTTGGGCCGAAAATCTTTGTCTTCACTGCAGATGCGGCGAAGACGAAGGAACTGAGAGAAGGGAATCGACCTTTTGGTGTGGTTGGGGTGGGAAGAGGAAAATAGAAGATAGCTATGGGAGTCAGTGGGCTTGTAGAACACAGAAGTAGATAGTAAGTTACCATTGATTGATACAAGGATATCTAAGAATGATAGACTGGTCTCACTGATCTTCCATGTGAACTGGAGTGCTGGATGAAAATTATTAACAAAGTTAATAAAGCGTTCCAATTCGACACGAGAACAATAGGTCTACCTGGGTTGTCAGGTTTATGAATTTTACAAATTGTTTACAAATTGTTTTACAATTTTTACAATTTGTCAGGTTTGTGAATCTACAAGCACACTGACTCCCATAGCTATCTTCTATTTTCCTCTTCGCACCCCAAGCACACCAAAAGGTCGATTCCCTTCTTTCAGTTCCTTCGTCTTCGCCGCATCTGCAGTGAAGACGAAGATTTTCAGGCCAAAAGTTTGGAAATGAGACACTTTTTTGTCCAACGTGGTTTTCCAACCGCTCTATTAGACACTGCCTTTCGAAGGCCTCCCAAATTCCCCGTTCTGACACCCTCACAGACCCTGTGTCTAATGTCACAGACAACAACAAAATCCCCCTAGTATAAAACTACAATCCTTTCAATTTCAAAGTTAGAGATGTCATCAACAAGAATTTCCACATTTTGAAAAACGACCCTGAAACATCTTCCATTTTTTCCGATAACCCCTTAGTCTCTTTTCGACACAGCAAAAATATCCGTGAATCCCTTGTCCATAGCTCCCTAGCACAGGCTTTGACGTCACAGATAGGCACTTTTCCTTGCTTGTCGTCGAAATGTAAAACCTGTGATTTTATAGATTCCACCACTATTGTTTCGGCACCAATTCTGAATTTCACATCAAGCACCATTTCACGTGCTCCTCCTCCCATCTCATCTACTGCATCTCTTGCAGCAGATGTGGCATGCTTTACATTAGGGAAACTGGAAGATGTTTAAAGACAAGTTTTGGTGAGCATCGGCGTGCAGTTATTGGCAATGATGCTAACCAACCTGTTGCCAGACATTTTAATGATGGCAATCACAGTGTTTCAGATTTGTTAATTCAAGTCCTCTGTCCCATTTCTGGAAGCAACGATAGCCGCAAACGACATGAAATGCGCCTCATATCCAAACTTGGCACTGTCCACCCTTCTGACATTAATGAACGCTTTTCTTATGTTTAATGCCATCATAGACTATCCAAAAGACGTGTCTTCTGGTTTGTCTATGATGCCATCTGTCCTTGCCTGCCTATAGCAGACATTGACAACCTCTATTTATTACTTTTACCCTATTCCCACTCGTGTTTTGTTAACTTTTGTTTTGATTATTTTTTGTAGTAATTGTCTTAACTTCCTGTTTATTTTTATATTTTTAATTATATTATATTCTGTAATGCGGTTTACATATTTTGTTTTACACTTTGTTATGATTAAATCCATCTAATTGGTTTATTTTTTGTCACGTGATGCTTTCATTATCTTATAAAAGCCCATGCATTTTCCCCGATCCCTGCTACTAACTCTTGACGAAGGGCGTTCGCTCGAAACGTCGAGTTTCGGCTTATTTTTTAAGGTAGTAATATAACCACTCAGCACAGCATAAACGCTTAGAGCATTTCGATATGATATTGTTGATATGGGTATTCCATTTAAGGTCAGATTGAATAGTGAGACCAAGTAATTTTACTTTCTGTACAACTTCTAATTGCTTGTCATTTACAAGTACTGGGAAAAAATCGCTTTTGATTCTCTTGAAGTCAATTCTGATCTCTTTGCATTTTTTGTCACTCAAGGAGAAAAGATTAGTATCGGACCACGATTGAATACTAGTAACAAATTCTTGGATTCTGCTTGAGTTATTTTTTGGTACTATTTCTGAGATGGTTAAATCGTCCACAAACTTGGCTTGATCTACTTGTGGTGGTCTAAGGTCATTGATCATTATGGCATATAACCATGGGCCGAGTTTCGTGCCCTGTGGTACTCCGGCTGGCACATTGCCCCATTCGGAGAAACAGTCATTTGCCATTTTAACTCGTTGTTTTCTGTCTTTGAGAAAGTCTATTATCCAATTAAGAGTGGTGGTGGGTATACGTAGAAGTTTCAATTTTGATACTAAAATGGTGTGATCGATGTTTTTTTACAGTTAAATAAGATGATCCGAACTGTTGATCCGTTTCCGTCGGTTGCCTCTGTCCATCTATGTAACATTTTTATCAGGGCATGACTGGTCGACGAGTCAGAGATGACACCAAATAGATTCTCGTCCAAAACTTCAAGAACTGCAGGCTTTAAGTGGATTCTAATTACAAACTCTTCGGCTACTTTTGAAAGGATTGGGGTTAATGATATTGGGCGCGGAGGTGTTTGTTAACAGATTCCACCGTTGTGGTCTTGGGAATTGGGACAACATTAGACATTTTCCATGATGAGGGTAAGCGCTGTTCTTCGTATGAGCTGTTCAAAATTTTACAGACTGGGAGCGCAAGTACTTCTGCGTTTTCTTTAAGTACCCATGAAATGATATCGTCGGGACCAGTGGATTTAGAAGAATCAAGTGATTTTAAGCATCTGTAAACTTCACACTCTGAAACAGTCAGCATATTTGTGTCGCTGATATTCGAAATATCCGAGGCATTGACATAATTTGAAGAGTTCAATGCTTGGAAATGTTGTAATGATTCAAGGAATGAATAATTAATTTGATTGGCAATCTCAAACTTATCCATTTGTTGAAATTCCTCGATCTGTAAGCATGATAAAATATCAGGCTTTAAAGTTGGGTCTATTCCATTAATTATCTTGACTGCTCGCCACCAATCTTTAGGCTTAGTGTACTTAAGGCTTTTGATTTTCTCGTGGAAGTACGTTTGTCTACATTTTTAATTTCCGTTCCAAGTTTACCTTATTGCGGAAATATTTAAAAACGGTTTGATTTCCATTGTTTAATGCCTGCCGTTTTCTAATAAGGCCCTTGAGATTAGTGGTCATCCAAGGTGCGTCATTTATATGGATCTTTTTTGCCGTAATAGGCATTATGGTGTTAATCGTGTTCACGACTATAACGTTAAAGATTGACACCTTTTCCTCGCAAGTAACAACATTATCTAGACATGACCAATCCATAGCAGAAAGAGTTCTGCCAACCGCGTTTTTGTTACTTTGCCTTAGGTCCCGTGATTTTATGACTTTAAACATTTTTTGTTGTGGATTTGGTATTAGGAAGCACTTTTGTTTTCTTTGTTTAAGGTCATTAGTTCCAACCCAGAGCTCACAAGACAATGAAAAATGTTCTTGTCGGTTCCAATTCACGGATAATGAACAAACTGTAATGAACCACACTGCACATACTGTTCAATTTAGTTTATAATTTTAATATAAATCTTCGGAAAACAATATAAACTTTATATTCACATCTCGAGCACACGAACGTGAAACGTAACACGAACGTACAAAACCTGAGCCCGCGATAAACAACGCGGTTATTAATAAGAACACAGCTAACCCAATATAATTTTGTCAATTAAAACGTTAAAACGTTTCAAAACTGTTGAGTGCTATTTACAACACTCCCACTCACTCAACATGTCCTTGTATCAGACCCAACTTACATCGCAGATACTCAAATTGTCCTTTGGATAGTGGCTTTGTCAAGATATCCGCTACCATTTCATTCGTTGGACAGTACTTCAGCTCAATTGTCCCATCTTGAGTTTTCTCCCGAACGAAATGATATTTGATATCAATGTGCTTCGTCCGCTTGTGTAGCACTGGGTTCCTTGACATCGCGATAGCACCTTGATTATCTTCATATATGGTCATCGCTGTGGTACAATCCATCTGTAGATCTTTCATCAGTTGTCGCAGCCATACTGCTTCTTGGGTTGCAAAACATAGTGCAATGTATTCTGATTCCGACGTTGAAAGGGGCGTTGTGATAACCCGGAATGCCGGAATATCACGGAATATGGCGGAATATCACGGAATATGCCGGAATATCACGGAATATCACGACATTTTTCCGGAATATACCTAAACATCACGATATTTTAAGATGATAGCTATGTAACAGTTTATAAACATTGACGTCTGACAACATATTTTATGCTTGTGATGTTACTCTGAGTGTATATCCACACCGGGCAAGCTTGAAAAATATGCCTGACCACGGTGGGAATCGAACCTACGACCTTTGGAATACTAGCCCAATACTCGATTCCCACCGTGGTCAGGCATATTTTTCAAGGTTGCGGGCCCAGTGTGGATATACACTCAGAGTAACATCACAAGCATCATATTCACCTGAGTACATTACACCAACACAGAAAAAAACATGATTATTATTAGATAACATTGATATCGAAGGAACTAGATTCTGTTCCGAAATATCACATACTCGAACTGACCAGACCGCGTAGCTCAGTTGGCAGAGCATTAGGCTAGTACTCCAAAGGTCGTAGATTCGATTCCCACCGTGGTCAAGCATATTTTTTAAGCTTGCCCGGTGTGGATATACACTCAGAGTAACATCACAAGCATCATATGATGATGATGATGATGATTTTATTGATCCATCTTTAGTTTAAAAATACAATGGATTTACAAATATGTCTATTAAAAGAGAAGAGCATAACTAAGCATGCGATAATATTTACAAACTATCTAAAATTTATATATATACAATTTTGAGTAAAAAATTTAAAAGTCTAGGAAATTATTTAAAAAGTTAATAAAAACCAAGTTTGGTTTTAGTACATTACACCAACACAGAAAAAACCATGAACATATTTTATTACAAAAGTGATGGATCGTTCCCAAGTAACAAACAATAACTCTATACTGGAAATTTTATATGTCGTTTATATCATTATTACGAGTGTTCAGCAAAAATTTTGAATCAATTTGATTAATTCCTCCTGAGTTACAGCGTCTTGAAAAATAAAAGTGCTTACGTCAGCATTATTTTCGAACTCCTTCAGAACTGTGTTATACACAAAATTTAGTTAAAAATTCTTCGTTAAGGTTTAGACGGGACTTTTTACCTGATATAAACAAGAATTTAAACATCTTGGCCCAAACTCGCCTTTATTTTAGCATTTGATTTTTGGATAACTCAAATAGCGGTATACAATTGACCATTTTATATCACCAAGCAATAATCCAATATCCAAAAATCAAATGCTAAAATAAAAGCAAGATTGAGCCAAGATAGATGTTTATATTCTTCTTCATATCAGTGTTCTTCGATATTTATTGTGTTTTTAATATCATATTCAAAACAACTGCATGCCTCGTGGTGATGACCCCAAAGCATCATGGGTCATACACCACATCTCTCCCCACGTAACATTGTTAACAAAATATAAATGTTTTTCAGTTTTTGTAAAGGACCTTGAAGCATAAGCTATTGGTCGTTCAGTATTATCACCCATGGCTTGTGTTAAAACTGCCCCCAACCCATACGGAGATGCATCGCATTCTAACTTGATTGGGCGTTGAGGGTCATAATGTGCAAGGACTTCCTCGGATGCAATTAACTCCTTTGCTTTTAGAAAAGCTTGCTCACATTCCGAGGTCCATTTCCACCGTCTCTCTTTTTCGAGCAACTGGTTTAGTGGTTGAAGTAAGGTAGAAAGGTTTTGAAGGAAATTGTGGTAATAATTAATAAGACCAACAAAGGAACGAACTTGGGAAACTTTTTCGGGACGTGGTGCATTTATCACAGCATTCACTTTCTGTTGGGACTTGTGCAGACCTAGCTTGCTGATCTCATGACGACAGAACTCGATTCTTTCTTTGAAGAATTCGCACTTACTGCTGTTGGCTCTGAGACCATGTTTACTAAGTCGACTGAGAACTTCTTCTAGGTTGTCAAGATGCTCTTGGTCGGTTTCACAAGATATGATCATGTCATCAAGGATACATTGCACATGGGGAATTCCTTCCAATATCTGATCCATAGCTTGTTGCCACATTGCAGGGGCAGATGCTACACCAAATACAAGCCGATTGTATTGGAATAATCCTTTATGGGTATTAATTGTTAGGAATTTCTTTGACTCTTCTTCCATTTCCATCTGTAATTACGCCTGTCGCAGATCAATCTTGCTGAAATTTTGCCCACCGCCGAGGGAGGCAAAAATATCATCAATCCTTGGGAGCGGGTATTGTTGAACGTGCAAGACTGGATTGATGGTTTGCTTGAAATCACCACACAATCGAACATTGCCATTCTTCTTTATCACTGGAACAACCGGGGTTGCCCATTCACTCCAATCAACTTTGGTCAAGATGCCGTCATTCTGCAACTTGGTCAACTCAGCCTCAACTTTTGGTCGCAGAGCATATGGTACTTGTCTCGCTTTGCAGAACTTTGGCTGGCTGTTTTCTTTCAGGGTCAGCTTTGCTTTGGTAGTCTTTAGCATACCAATATCTTCTTCGGAGACATCCCTGTATTTATCAAGGATCTCTTGTAATTGGGTTGATGGATTTCCTGGTGGTGTGGTTGCCAATGTGTTGATTGCTTTCCAATCTAGTGTGATCTTTTCTAGCCAGTCTCGACCAAAGAGGGCAGGCCCCTTTGTTTCGACCACATACAAATTTAGCTTCTGCATCTCTTCTTTATACTTAACTTCGACATTCAAGACTCCTACGGGTTGGATTCTCTCCCCGGTGTAGGTTTTGAGGACAGTGGTTGTTGGGTGGAGTTTGCTTGACTTAAACGTTGTGCTATATTTACTAAGTGGAAGTACAGATACAGCAAAGCCAGTGTCTAATTCCATTTGCAGGGGTTTCCCTTCCACGTCGGGGGTTACCCAGATTATATTAGTGTGGGCTTTAGAAACCTTGTGCAGTTCTAGGGATGCCAAGGTGTCCTCGCTATCACTATCACTTTCGTTTTGAACCTTATGTACTTCTGGGCCCTTTTTCTTGCTCGAACTTGGCTTGATAGGGGAATTTTGTTTAAAAGGCTTCCCCCTACATACACGTTTTATATGGCCCTTTTTCCCACAGTTTCTACAATATTGATCTTTGAAATAGCATTCCTGGGGTTCGTGCCCCTCTTTCCCACATCTATAACGTTTATGTTGCATTGGGACTTCACGAATGCTGTTCACAGGAGGTATTGTCTTAGCTTTCCCCCTCAACTCAAGTGAATCTTTCATGGCCGTTTCCATGGCAACCGCAAGTTTTAAAGCTTTCTCGAACGTAAGGCTGGTTTCGACAAGTAAGCGTTTCTGAATAGATTCATTGTATAGTCCACAAACAAATCTGTCCCTTAACGAGTCATTTAACGCTGTACCAAACTCACAGTGTTCGGATGACTTCTTAATTTCAGCCACATAAGTATTAGTATTTTCATCGTCTCTTTGATCTCGCTTATGAAATCTAAATCGTTCTGCGATCAGTAAGGGTTTGGGCGACAAATGTCCCTTTAAGATTGCCACTATTTGATCAAATGATTTGGTCGAAGGTTTATCAGGAGAAGTCAGTGTTCGTAATAAACTATACGTCTTACCTCCGATCACTGTCAACAAAACTGGAACTCTTTTATCATCGGCTACATCGTTCGCAAGGAAATACTGTTCAACTCTTTCTATATATGCAGTCCAATCGTTGCGTGTTTCATCAAATTCTTCTAGTTTGCCGATCGAATTCATCGCTTTATTTTGTGTCACTTCAGACGTAGACGTCGTTTCTGTGACTTGAAGCCATAATCAATCGTTTAATCCTCGTCGCCAATGAAGTGTTCTTCAATATTCATTGTGTTTTTAATATCATGTTCAAAACAACTATCCATGCCTCGTGGTGATTACCCCAAAGCATCATGGGTCATACACCACAAACATCATATTATATATTTTGTAAACGAAACAAGGTGTAAGATAACCCAAAACTAATGTTAATATAATCCTTCTTAAAAAAATTATTGTACAATAAAGATATAGTATCAATTCAAGTAGACATTGATAAACTACCTGTATAACAGCGAGGTTTATCATTGTAGTTGTATATATCTTAATAATCAATAAATAAAGTTTCCATTATTTAAAAATATTTAAAAACGGTAGTCCTTCGGGGCACGTGCCCATGCTTTTCAAGGAGCCGTTTGCAAACTATTAAATTAACAACGCATATATTAATTTATTTATATTTTACTAATTATACACTAGATTACTAATTACTAATTACAAGAATACATCACTGTGGTCAAGAATAGATTTAAATTTACTAAAGCTGTTTTGTTCCTTAGCTAAACTTGGTAAGCTGTTCCATAAGGACGCAGCCGGGTAACTAATACTCTTTTTCATAAAATTTGTTACTGGCTTTTCAAGGGAGAAGTTTATATTGTTACTACGCAATTGATACACATGGTTCTCTTTGATCTTTTAAAACATTTCTGTTACTGATTGTGGCATGACGTTATTTTTATTTTGTGTATAAAAATACATTTGTTTCTCTTTAGTCGTTCACTTAGGGGCTGCCAATTTAGCTCTTTTAAAACATCTTTAGATCTGGTTTCATATGTTCTGCCCGCGCGTAATCACTCTCGCAGCCCTATTTTGTAATTTTTGCAGTTTTATTATTTATTAGTTTTTATTATTTTGCAGAATTATCCCAAACAAGACTGCAATAATCAAAATGTGACAATAAATAGCATTGTATATTTTTAACAAAGTCGATTGGGGAACAAATTTCTTTATTCTCCAAATCATTCCTATGCCTTTTGAAGATTTTGAAACCATACTTTGTATTTGGTCGTTCCACGAGAGGTGCTCATCCACAATGACCCCCAATGTTTTAGATTTATTGACTCGCTTTATTGTTGAGTCACCAAGTTTCACTATAGGATCTGTTAAAATATTAGACATGCGTTGTCGTGAGCCAACAATCATGTATTCAGTTTTCTTTTTATTAAGAGTGAGTTTATCAAATTTTCTAACTCGGCATTTAAGCGTTCTTGTATTTCAGTATCAGTTTTACCTTGAGTAGAAATATTTGTGTCATCAGCAAACATACTTGCCGAGGATAATGATAGACAGTTCGGAAGGTCGTTTATATATAGAAGAAACAGCAAGGGGCCTATAAAGCCTAGCGCACACGATGCGATTTTAGTCGGCCGATAAAAATCGTTTGGCTAAAACTAACAAAATCGTTGTGTGTGCGGTGTCATTTTTAAATTAACCGATTTTTGTTGCTCGATTTTAATCGGACAACATCAGAACGTTTTGATATTATACGATTTTTATCGGTGGAATTTTAAGTATAACCGATCAGATTTCCATGCTGTGATCACGTGCTTGTATTTATTTGGCAACATTGCGGCTACAGTTGAGGGAGCGTATTTTTTTCGTAATCGTGTGCGGAGTATACTGACGTATATCGGTATGTGAAACGATTTTTATCGGCCGACTAAAATCGCATCGTGTGCGCCAGGCTCAAGTTAGAACCTTATGGTATGCCACATTTAACTGCTCTTTCATTAGATGCAATTTGATCCACCTTGCAAATTTGTATCCGATTAGTAAGATAGCACTCAAACCAAGCTAGATCACGACCCTTATTCCATAATAATCCATTTTTGTTGTAAGTATATATTATGATCTACACAGTCAAACGCCTTTTTAAGGTCAAGGAAAATAACTCCATTCAAACACCCCCTATCCATATTTAGCAGCCATTGATTTGTTGTACGAAGGAGAGATGTTTCAGTGGAGTGTTTCCTCCGAAAACCTGCTTGTTGTTCTATGAGTAAACCGTTAGACTCTAAATACGTATTAATTAAGCTGCTCTGAAATTAATTGCTCAAATATTTTTGCAACACATGATAGAACTGAAATTGGTCTTTAATTATCACAGATTAATTTGCTATCGGATTTATGGATTGGCGAGATTATAGCAATCTTAAAGTCTACTCTGAGTGTATATCCACACCGGGCAGGCTTGAAAAATATGCCTGGCCACGGCGGGATTCGAACCTACGACCTCTGGAATACTAGCCCAATGCTCTTCCAACTGAGCTACGCGGTCAGGACGGTTCGAGTAAGCGATATTTCGGAACTGAGTCTAGTTCCTTCGATGTCAGTGTAATCTAATATTTTTTTTATATAGATTAGATTACACTGATATCGAAGGAACTAGACTCAGTTCCGAAATATCGCTTACTCGAACCGTCCTGACCGCGTAGCTCATTTGGAAGAGCATTGGGCTAGTATTCCAAAGGTCGTAGGTTCGAATCCCGCCGTGGCCAGGCATATTTTTCAAGCCTGCCCGGTGTGGATATACACTCAGAGTAACATCACACAAACATATCAAAATAAAGTTCAAAATTTTAGGATATTTGACACTTTTGTTTTGAAATTCCGGAGCCTGGGGACGAAAATATATTTAATAAGCAAATGTCACCGGATATTTTGCCATGATTCTGAAATGCTTTGTCTGAAGCTGGGGTGCCTTACGGTAGAGTTATCCACTGCAACATTGTTGCAGTTCGTTGAATGATTTTTGTATTAATAATGATAACAATATTTTGAAACATTAAATACTCAGTAGAATCTCTTATTTCAACGCAAATTATTTCTATATTTCTGCAACAGAGCATGCACACACATAAATGTATATGCTATACATATATACATACATTTGAAATATATGACAATTGGAACAGCAGAACTACTCTATAACCGGAGTCAATGTCTAAGCGCATTTTACAATGCAAATATGCACTTTACTGTCGAAAACACAATCACAGACCAGTGGTAGTAAGTTGCTACACATTATTGAACTATTAATACACATTACAAATCACAACATTGACTGAGTAACTTATATTGTGGGATTTGCGTTTACCCTGCCATTTACGTCACCAAATGTATTTTATGCATAAATTAGCATACGCTGAATTTTCCCAAGATGTCGGATGACTGTTAAAATTTGTTAAACATTTTCATAAATTTTCTGAACAACTAAATGCAATGGGAAAAAACCAAAAATATTAGTAAGCTTAATGAATACAGACAATAAAAAATTTGTTGCCATTGTCCTTTAAAAGTATCTGGATCTTGAGGTTGAATTGCTTGAGAAGATGGCAATGGCAGAATATCAAAATCCCATCAAATAATATTCGCAAAGATCAGAGATTGTCCTGTTCCATCTTGCCTGAGATACTGAGGTCAGAGAACTGCAACATATGAAAACAATCTTCAGTTTCACCCTTTAACTCTTTATCGACAAGGGACATTTTGACGATTTTACAACTCAATTGATTATAATGTAAATATCTCAGCACGTATTCACCCCCCTTTGAAACAAAGATCCTAATAAAATAACCTTTTCAACAGGGGGTCAAATGCCGTCAAAGCATTACACAAACCGAAACAATCATATATTTTCTCACCGCTTGGCCAAACATTTGGAATTTCGTTTCCACAATAGCGTAAATAACTTGTGAATTCTTCAGAGTTCGCCACAAATCAATATGAGTGAAATATTCCTTGTATTCAAGCGCTTTTATATCCAAAATTTCATTTGAATACAGCCAGTAGAAATGTTTATTTTGAGTTTTTAAAAATATCAGCTTTTTCTTGGTTTTTCTCGCACAAATGTGCCACATGCTAAAATTGGTGAATAAGAAGTACCCGTAGCCCGATGCACATGCAAATCATGCTGCAGCTGTAATTTGACCTTTAGAATCGATTTCCGACGTGTCCGAGCGCTAGGATGTAAACACACAATGTTTTGGGAAATCTAAATCGCATTTCCGGTCAAAAAATATCCAGCTGACTTCACTAATATAGCAACAGAATGAAATATCGAAATAAGAGACGAAAAATTGAAAAATTAAACGAGACTTACCTGTAAGGTGGTGAAGTTTGATTTTGGTTCTGCGAATCATTGGTCTGGAGCTATAGGGGTCATGTGGGAGCGCGTGAACCAGATGGATCAGTATTTAAAACAAGCCTGGAGCACTTGTACCAAATATGGGTTGGGAAAAACCATTTGGGTGGGCACATGACTCCTATAGCTCCAGACCAATGATTCGCAGAACCAAAATCAAACTTCACCTTACAGGTAAGTCTCGTTTAATTTTTCAATTCTGCTTCATCATTGGTCATTGTCGCTATACGGAGTCACGTGAGATTTTAAAGCAGTACGAGTGCGGAGGGAGTAAAATATCCAGTCAAATGGCAAACTCCCATGTTCATTATTTATACATGAACACATTAACATAACATAATTATATAACATAACATGGCGTATTAAACGCAAACATTAACTGTCTCTGCATTTTTGCAGTAAGCTGTTGCCAAAATTGTCCTTACTTATAATAGGTTTGTTATAAAACCTTACAAATGTTGACTCTTGAGTCCAACCTGCACTTTCCATGATAGTGTTAATTGAAATATCCATAGCTTTGGCTGCCGATGTCGAGGCTGAACGAGTACTATGCGCTCCAAACTTTTTCGTGTCGATACCAGCAAGTTCAAGTACTTTCTTTAACCATCTGCTTACAGTGTCTGCAGAAACCGCTTTATATGGTTTTTGAAAACTTATCAATAATTGAGCTTGGTTACCTCTTAAAGCTCTTGTTCGGTCGATGTATCTTTCTAAATGTGTTACAATACACAATGCAGGGTCAGGTTTAAATGCTAGTAGTTTAATAGGCGGCAAATGATGGCCAACTCTAGACGTCTTCAGCAATGTTCTGATAGTAAAGATACACTTGTCCGAATCAAGCTGCATACCGTTTATATCCAATGCATGCAATGTTTGGCGTCGTTGCCCAGATAATAATGCCAACAGCATCACAACCTTATATGTTAGTACCTTCATGGTCAGTCCGTCTGGCGGCCCAAGTGAAGCTAAATAATTAATCACAATGTTCACATCCCAGGTTTCTGAATATCTAGGAAGAGATGGTTTTGTTTCAAAGACACCCTTCATGAAACGGCAAACTAAAGGATGACTGCCAAAAGTGTTATTTTGTGGCATAGACACTACCGCCGATAAAGCACTTCGGGCTGTATTCAAGACACTATAACCACACCCATCAGAATATAGTTCGGCTAAAAAATTTATACCATCCTCTACAGTAGCTGAAATGTTATCAATTTCCCGGCCACTACAGTACTGCTCCCACTTACGGACATACGGGACGTATTGCTGTTGCGTGCTTTGTCTCCAGGATGACATGATGAGGGACAAAGCTTGGCGTGAAAGGCCTTTATTTTCGAAGGGTCGCCAGAGAGGTGACACATCAGTAGGGTTAATTTTTGATGTAGAGGATGTAGCAAATCTGGGTTGGTCGGTAAAAGTAGAGTTTGTTTTGTCCGAGGTAGAATTAAGGGCTGTTGCACTATCATTCGCATTAGAACTGGCCACCAAGGTTGTTTTGGCCATTGCGGGACTACAATTACCCCCGTACTGTGTTCCTCCTGAATTTTCTGGAGAACCAGTGTAATTAAACTAAAGGGAGGAAATGCATAGAATAAATAAGGTTGCCAGGAAACTGTGAACGCGTTTATTATTTCAGCTTCTGGGTCAGGCTGATAAGATATAAATGGCTTGATTTTATAATTTAATCGCGAAGCAAATAAATCAATTGTTGGCTTCACACCAAGCTGGCCAATACCATTTTCAAATATATTTGTATTTAGGGACCATTCAAGATCCTTTCGTGATTTTCTAGATTCGGCATCAGCAATAGTGTTGTCTTTGCCAGCAATATGTGCTGTTGTTAGAAACACATTGTGCTGTACGCACCAATCCCAAATATTCCGAGTTAAAGCATTTCGTTTTCGAGAATGGCTTGTACCCATCTTCCCTATATCAGCCACTGCAGTCATATTATCTATTCGGACACAAACATGTTTACCGGATAACTGGCTATGAAATGCGGTTAAGGCAAGGAAGACTGCCAACATTTCTAAATAGTTTATATGATTATTAGCCTCCAATGGGGTCCATTTCCCTCCTATTGGACAGTTATTCAACACTGCCCCCCATCCATGATTTGAAGCGTCAGTGAATAACGTTATCTCTGGAAGGGTGTTTGAAATAGGTTTATGTAATGAATCAGCGGAATTAATCCACCAGCTTAACTCTGAACATGCTTTGTCAGATAAACACATGGGTTTTTCAAAATTCCCTTTGTTTAATTTAAGAGCTTCCGTTTTATCCATGTCAAGCTCACGAAAATGTAAAGGTCCATATAGGGCAGCTGGAAAAACAGATGTTAAAAATCCCAGCATGGACACCACTTCACGAATTTTAGGTGACGATTTAGTTAATAGCTCCTGACAAGCAGTTTTTATCTTTTCGATTTTTTCTGCTGTGGGGTATACCTTCATCTCTACGGAATCAATTAAGAACTCGAGAATGATTCATTTCTGTGTCGGAATAAATGACGATTTGCTAGGGTGAACAGTAAACCCTAAGGAGTCGTAAAGTTTAATAGTGGCAAAGACATTTTTAGTGCAGTTGCTGTAGTCATCCCCTTGCAGATAAGAGTCATCTATATGACTAACTGACAAATGGCCAAGTTGCCTTAATGATGAACTAATAGGCTTAAGCAACTTGGTAAATTTCTGCGGGCAAAAACCCAGGCCATGGGGGAAAGAAACAAATTTATAAATAGGAATTTTAAGTATTTTTGATGCTCATTTGCAATTGGCACAGAATAGTACGCGTCTTTTAGGTCAACAGAAGCCATATAACAGTTATGTTTAACGAGGCTTATAACTGTTGAAAGAGATTCCATTTTAAAATGGTGATATTCGATAAACTTATTTAAACCTTTAAGGTTAAGTATCATTCTCGAAGTCCCATCCCCCAACGATGCCCAATCGGCATAAAAATGTTTTAGTCTGCCTGCTTTAAAACAGGTAACTTTATATGTTAAATAATTTATTAATACATCATCACACAAATTTACCTCAGTTATATCAGGAAATACTTTAATTTGGTCATCTGGCTTTAATTTTTCGGCTTGTTGTGGTACTTCTGCCTCTGGGGTTTGCTTTTTTGAGCGGACTGATATGGATGATACGCCCTTCCTTTGCACTGCCATAAACAGACTTATCTTTAAAAGACTTATTATGGCTGTCAGAATAGCGCCGAGGAGTCGCGCCACTGCCAAAGGCACTTGTTGTTTGGCCAATTTTATTTGATGCAGTAATACTCGAATGTTGGCTTTGTAGATCATCACCAAAAATAAAGTCGGTAATCGGTGTTCGTGTCGCCATATTCCCTCTTCAAATGAGGCTTAATCAACTCTCAGCGATGCAGCGACAGGTTGATATTGAAATGCCCTAAAAGCGCCAATGCATCAGCATTACCCGAAAAGAGCTCACCCAGAGTTTTCTGTTGTTCAGTGTCTGACTTACTGAGTTTGGTACGCAATTCTAAAAGGGAATCTGTAATTTTAGTCAATGCGCTACCAGCTTTCGTGAGCGTTTTTTGAAAATTTATGATACGTAAATCGGCACTCTTTGTGTTGTGGCTTAAATTTGCCCAAATTTCGGGATTTACCTTAGGGACAAGGAGGCGAGTGCAGTTTGCTGGTCTATTGTATTTTTCCAATTTGGATTTAAATTTTGAATCATCCAGCTTTTCAGCCCAACGCTTGTTGACAATGTCAGTTTCTCGCTTACGTTTGGCCCTGTGTCATCGCCACCGTCAAACTCTTGAGCAATTTCGCTCAGCAGATTATCATCAGACTCCGAAATCATTTGCCCATTTGGTGTGTTGCCCTCTCGCTCACTACTTGTTTCGGCAGAGTCTGTCGCTTCTGTGTCAGAGATCTCGTCGTCAGGCGAGTCTTCGAACGATGACGACTTGCGTCTACACCACTGTTTAGAAGGCCTTTCTTGTTTGGCCTCAATGTGTGAAAAACGTGGGTTCTTCATCATGTTCTTGTTCCGCTGAAAGAATCGCTCCTTCTTCAATATTTGTTCTCGACATTATTTTACAAACTGAAAATACTGTACAAAGATAACTTTTATTTTGAAAAATTTTTCACTCCGGCTTTGAATGATCTGACCTCACCAAAGGATCTTGCACAACTGATCCATCTGGTTCGTGTGCACTCTCCCATGTGACTCCGTATAGCGACAATGACGAAGCAGAACTGAGGGTACAAGCCTCAAAATAACACTGTAAATAGTGTTTTTGATTGTGAATCGAACAAGACTACAGCGAAAAAGACATGTTCGAAGGGGCCGAAGTTGTGTCCGGCGAAAGGTAGAAAGGGGAGAAATATTAAATAGCGAAATTTAATATTTGGCGATATTGGAAATTTGGCGAGGGGAGAAATATTAAATAGCGACGGTCTGGCAAACTAATACTGTGCCCCCACTAAACACGATTAGGCCCATACACCCATGTACAAAGGCAACGTAGCTAAGCAATGCTTATGATTCAGATATTTGTGCTTTATATTTTGAATATATGCTAAAACATTTCGAATATATAGAGGTAAAAAAGTTTAAGTTAGGGAAGTTTAGACTGTTCATTTGGTTTGATCATAGAGGTTTGATTACTTTGATATCATTAATCCATTGAATTGCATTGAGTCATATTACAACAGCATAATGAACAAATTGAAGATCGTATCCTTCCAAAACTAAAGCTTTATGGCGGTGAACTCATGTTGTTTTGATAGTGAAGGTCAAGCAAACAATAAGCGCCCACTCGTGCAAAATCAATAATATATAATTAAACGCAATGCATCATGGTATAGTGACCACTCCTCCTCTGGGGCTGGCTATGGCATGATGTCTAACTAAACCAACTTCAAATTCTACTATAACTATAGGGAGCCTACTTAAATTTTCCCTTTAACCTTAACTTCTCATAACCTTAGTACATAATATTATGTATCCTTATTGTTAACATATTATTTCATTCAGTTGTTAGCATTGTGAACCCAAGAGCAACTCAAGTGACAAGAGTGACAGTGAAATTGAACTTCCATCCAGCTGTGGTAGTGAAAGCGTGAGTGATCCCTGTCTAGTGGAATCAATCACACCCATTTTTATAATGACAATAGGAGCCTGCCTGTCTATAAATTGGGAAGGTATCCAAACCAAGAAAGTCGTCAGGGAACTCCTTAAGATTAGTGATGACAGTCAAGTTGAGAGAGCTGTCCCATGTAATGTCCAACACAACTCCGCATTTATAGTCGAATCCTGGGGCTTAGACGAAGTTTGGGGATATAAAATGCGATGACATAAGCTCATGGACGAACCAAGGAGAAAACCTACGGCTATGGGGACTATGGCACACATAGCGATTTACCACTTACAGATATATGGATGTTCAATATGTATTCTCCAAAGGGAAAAGGCAATTAACATTAAAGGCATTTATGCATGCCATAATTGATTCATTTGATTGGTTCATTCGATTTGTTAGCCAAAAAAACCGTCTTCTCATTTGATAGGTTCAACAGCTTCTTGATGCAGAACGATTAGTACAAATCCAGAAAGATTTTTGGTACTTTCAGTTGATGCAATGTCACTGAGCACTATTTTATGTTTGGAACATACCGAAACCTTATGTTGGAAACGAGTCGGGGTGTAAATCCCATTTTCATTGGTCCAGGTGTTCGGCGCAAGAAAAAGCTTGAGTCCCTCATGCTATGCTCTCCTTTCGTCCACTGTAAAATGTAAAATGGAAACGAGAAGAGTCTTTGTGATAGGCATAGATGGAAAGTGGTGGCAAGCATATTTATTGATGCCATCCACCTGTGTTGTGACATACATCTCAAGGACAATGTATAGCAGATGCCGTCTGTCCTTGAAGTCAACCGTATTCCTTCATGTGAAATTACACGTGACATATTTGGCTGCAATCTTGATGGTGCTAGAGAGGGTGGCCTTGTTGATTGCAAATCTGAGGAGTTATTCAGCATGGCAATTGAAGATATCAAGAAACATTGGCCCCCACTTCATGCAAACACAGCTTCATTTCTTGATTATTTCTTGGCTGGTCCAGCAAACACCATTAAGGACAGTATGCGTGAAGACATCCGGTCAATGCAGAATGCCAGCAAATGCATAGAGATTATAAATAACAGTAGAGGAGGCATGAATGTTAAAATTTGGGAACATGACTGATGTGGGGGGGGGGGGCAAATTTAGGTCCAGGATATAAAATCAGCTCTCATTGGCTAAATTCCTAAAATTCTAAAAATCCTCCTCAATGGGAACACAAGTACACTTCCGGGACTTGAATTTGCCCCCCATCCCACCTTCCTTTTTTTGCCTATGTCAAGATTGCGATGCCTCCTCTAGTGTTATTTTTTATTATCTCTGAGCGAATGCCTAAATCGATATTCCCCCGGGAATATGTGGAAAAATACTAAAACAATTATTTGGCTCAGTGATTATCGGGGAATATTCACTTCGATAATCACAGAGCCGAATAATTGTTTTAGTATTTTGTGTTTACTTTGTTTAGTACACTTTTGTGTTTTCTGGGACTGAATTTATTTTAATTTATCAGTAACTTCCACAAAACAGCTATAGCCACCATTTTGCAATTTTGTTATATTCACTTGTGCAAAAATACTATAGAAGATATTTTAACAGTGTGATATAACGTTCCTAACATAATATTCCTCCCTCCACCCACCCAGGATTGACGCTGTTGTTCTTAATGACATTAAATGTGAAATCTACATTAAATTTAAACAGTACCACCCAAGTTATAACTTTCAGCTCTTCTATTGTCAAAGATTTTTGACGACATGTGTTAGTTTTAAAAAAAAATTAAATATTAATTATATATTCCAGGTTTTAGGACAACCAGCAATAAAGGAATAGTCAATTCATGCATTTTGATAGAATACTTGAGATACTAGAATACTGAATATTTTAGTTCAATTTGGGGCCTTTTGTGGCAGGGTAAAATGTTAAAATAGATATTTGAAATAATTACATCAAAACATCAAATAATTACATGATGTGTCACTAGATATGCCCATTTTCCACTAGGCGAAAAATCACTATTAATGGGTTTTGAATGGTTTTTAACAACAACAATCCTTTATTACTCAAAGAAATACATTATTTACACATAAACATACTGAATTTTTTATTGCATTTTTCTAATGAGCACTGGCTGCCAAAATAACCATGGGGCTAGAAAATCTGGCAGTCAGTTTATTTCAACAAGTCAATCTTTTCAAAGACAATTTCACACCAAAGACAAAGACAAACAACAACAAACAAAATTAATGAATAATAAAGCCTAGATGAAATTGCAACAACGAGAAATTAATAACCTTGCAAATAAGTTATTATGTTAGAAAATCAATAACTTTCAAGAACGTTTTCTTTAACGTTCAGTTTAAATTTGTTCAGAGAAAGGGATTTAAAATTATCAGCAATAGAATTCCATATTTGAGCTCCTTGGAATCTGATATTAAAAATTCTGTAGTTAGTTCTAGCTTTAGGGAGCGAAAATGACTGCTTGGAAGATAATCGGGGGTGCCGGAAGAAATGTGAAGCGGCGGGGGCAGCAATTTCAAAAGGGCACTTGCTTCTCAGCCATAATTTCTCTGGGCAGCATCAACCTCGTACCCAGGCTCTTTCCACTACGCGCCTCGCTATTTTCTTAATTATTTTGTTCTTATGTTACTTTTTTAAAGTGAAGCGTGTAGTGAAAAGAGCCTAGGTACGAGGTTAGGCAGCAATATTTGTTAAAACGTTACTGTATGGATACTCGATTACTTTTGGCTATTATGGGTCGCAAACATTCGTTGCAGTCCAGGGACACCGGAACGATGTGAAGGCAAGGGGGCAGATTTTCGTGAAAGGGCACTTTTGAATTGATATATACTAAGAGATGTTTGCAAAACATTGGGAGTTGAATCGCCTAATCATGTTTTCCATTTATTGGATGATAGGGGTGTGAGGGGGTTCTCTGCTAGGCAATTGTGCTATTCTTGAAGCTCGATGACTGCATTTCTTGCATTCTCTGAAGCAGGTTCGTAAAGAATTGCACTAGCTTTTCTGACAATTCGCTATTTCGCAAGGGCAATCCTTTAAATTGAAAGGGCACCTTTGCCCCCCTTGCCCCTCCAGGTAAAGGGCAACAGGGGCCGCTGCCCCTCCTGCCCCCCAGTTCCGGCGTCCCTGAAGATAATCTAGTACCATAGTCATGTTGACTAGCTACAGTGGAGAAGAAATTAGTAAAAATGGGTGGTAGCAGCTGATTATAAAATTTATACATGAATAAGGCAATTTGAAAGGACACCAAATCACAAAACTTCATAAGATTCAAATCTTTAAAAATCGGACTGGTATGTTCTTGAAAACTCGAATTAGTTATAATACGCACTGCTTTTTTTTGTAAAACAACCAGTGGCTGGAGAGTAGTCTGGTATGTATATCAGAAAAGGATAGATTAGAACATAATACAGATTTTTGAGAGTAAATAGACTTACATACCCTGGTAGAAATCCTATGCTGTAGGATCTTGTTACGATCATGAAATTAACAGGATCCTGAATAGGATCCTTATAGGATCCTAAAAGTAATAGGAATTGAATTAGGATCCTATCAAGATCCTATAGTTAACAGGATCCTAACTAGGATCTTGTTAGGATCCTAGGATCCTATTAGGATCCTGGCATTTAATAACAGGATCCTGACTAGGCTACTACCAGGAAAATTGACAGGATCCTGAGTAGGATCCTATAAGAAAAATCTAGGATCCTGGGATCTAATAACAGGATCCTAACCAGGATACTACAGGAAAATTGACAGGATCCTGAGTAGGATCCTATAAGAAAAATGTAGGATCCTGGGATCTAATAACAGGATCCTAACCAGGATACTACAGGAAAATTGACAGGATCCTCAGTAGGATCCTATAAGAAAAATCTAGGATTCCGGCATTTAATAACAGGATCCTGACTAGGATACTTCCAGGAAAATTGACAGGATCCTGAACAGGATACTATAAGGAAAATCTAGGATCCTAGCATTTAATAACAGGATCGATCCTGAATACGACACTACCAGGAAAATTTACAGGATCTTGAATAGGATACTATAAGAAAAAATTACCGTAGGATCCTGGAATTTAATAACATGCATGATCCCATTCATGATATTACCAGAAAAATTAGCACGATACTGAGCATCCGGACCCTAAAAAGAAAATCCAGAATCCTGAAATCTATTCAACCTTAACAAGATCCTGACTGGGATCTTTCCAATCTACGATCTTAAAAGGAAATACCAATATGCTGAAATTTAAAATAACACTATCCGGAGTAAATTGACGAGTCTGGTCCTGAGGTGGAGGCTGAGTTGGATACTGGGTTTTAGAATCTATAAGATCTTGGTATTTGTTGCAATTGAAAGTGGTAATTACAATTAATGTTATGATAACAACAATTTTAACAATTGAGATGTAAGAAATTGCAAATTTATTATCTCGTGATCATAAAAATATATTTATGTGGGTAGAAAGTCGATTATTTACAAACACTGAATTGTTGTGGTCAACGCTGGCTTCCCAATTCAAAATTGCTTAAGCACACGTTTACACACAGCGATTTGTCTGGCCGATTTCAGGTTTTCCTTGATGTTTAAGGAACGAATATCAATCAGTAGGTAATCACATTACACAACGTTTACTGAGCTTTAATTTCCAATTATTAATGAAGTAGATCCAAAATCGGTAATGTGTGTAAACATGCCTTTCCAACGGCTCGCACAACAGTATATTAATTAATGTCTCAACTTAGTCATGTTGGTAGCTTTTTAAAACTGTCGAAACGTAGCCATCAACATCTGGTTCTTCAGTTTCAACAAAAACAATTCGATGTGTGATGCTTGAGCAATGAATGTATCTATATTGTTGGGTCCTTTGCACTGCCGTGAAGTGGCAACCAAGATAACCAGCGGACCAAAACTCATTTAGAACTGGATCTTCAGGCTGGACAATATTTATCTCAGAAACGTTCAACTGGAGATTTCTAAACAAATTGACCACTGCAAATCCATCATCGCTGTTTCTCACATAGTATTCAACTTTCCCAAAATACACAGACCCTTCTTCACTAAACTGCACCAAGAAACTAGCGGAGTTTTTCTTACGAGAATAGTGAGAACTATGGTAAACTTGCCCGTCTTTTATCATACGTTGGGCAACTGCTATTCCATCTGCATCGACAGGGAAATTTTGTATTGGATGTTGGACTTCAGGGACTTTCTGCTGCAAAGGTGGAATAAACTTGATCCTGTTATTCATCTCTACCACGTTTTGAGAGCCGGATGGTTTCAAAAACGTTTCAGCTAGTTCTTTTACCGCCTCGTTTCTTTGGACTTTCTTTAGGATGTGCCCATTTGCTATTGCCAGCTTTTTAATAATTTGGTCCGGTATGCCCCTCATACCGTGAAACAACCGTTTTAGATGAGCTAACGTGGATTCAAACACGAATGTTGAATGTAGAATTAGAGGACCATGATCTCGCACCTGCTGAGGAAAATGAGTAAGAGAGTGAGAATTATAAGTCGCTTCAGTGATGTCATAAAGACTTGGAAGGAGTCTAGTGTAATTAAGGAGCATGGCTTCAGCTACGCTGATGGTGGTTTTAGTTATGCCCTCACATAATAGTCTGATACCTGTCACAAGCAAGCAATGGTGATAAAATAATTCTGTGGGTAGCAGTTGCTTCAGGAGCAGCAGTCCTACATGTAGAAACATAGTTTGTTTCTCATTCGCCTTCCATCACTTAAATTCTTCAACCTGTCGCAATTTTCTCTTGAAGTCATGTGGAAGTCGGGTTGACATGAGTTTTCCAGTAAGTGTTTCCTTTGTTGCTTCATCTCGGAGGCTTACTCCACTAGGGCAACTTCCGTTGAACCATTTCGAAAGCCTCCTAGTATACTCCCCTTCAAGAACCTGATGCATATAGTCTAGCAATACCATTTCAGGTATTTCTAGAATATCATGTACAGGTGATGTGCCCATAACTCCATATAAGGTTTCCCCACTTTGCTTTGCCAAAGTAGCGTGCAGTAGGAAATCAGTGTGATTCCTTCTCGGTGGAATATTGGGACAATATTCATAAACTCTCTTGTTCCCACGACCTGCTAACCTCCTTCCAGCATGTAAGCAAGTGCTGCAACCAAACCTTCCGTTATGAAGCTTGCAGTTAATAGATGGCGCCTTCACAACCGAATCAGCCGCTTGCCCACCAACAAAGTTTAAATTTTGTCTCATTACCGTCTACGTCTAACTGGAAGCCTTCTTGGAGAGTTTTTACCTGTTGAACAAAGTGGTTTTGGAACACTTTTATTTCCGGCTTCTTTCGTCCGTACCAAAGTCCGGAAAGTAAAATATTTTTAAACGAATACCTTAGATTTGGGGGCATTTCTGCAACAAAGCTCTGGATTGGCCACAGGGACATATTTTTTGATTTTGGAGCTGGAGCACCATCAATATGCTAATACAGGGAAATGCAAAAACTTCCATCTTCTTTGGCAATTCGACTTTGCTTCCTGTATACAGCGCCATCCAGAATATCATTATACGTACCCTCACTGAAGACATAATTGTCGACGTAATTCTTCATGTCACTAAAGTTCTCTAATTATGAGGAAAAAAACATCACATCATCAGCGTAAATGTTGATTTCCTTCACTTCGTGAAGGCCTTCAAGTGAGACATTAGTTTAACAGTTGTTTTTCATCTGTATTCGTCTTTGTTCACAAAAAGAATCCATAGTTTTTGTTCGTGTCACCAACATGAGCAAAAACTATGGATTCTTTTTGTGAACAAGGACGGATACACATGAAAAACAAATTTAAACTGCATGGTTACAAATCCAAAAGTAAACATAAGTCACTGGTTTTTGTCACGTTCGCGTACTAGATTAAGCACATCTTAAGCTCTCTATTATTGTATGACATTGAGCTACACTTCTGACAATTACCAAATACTGTATCAAAGAGGTCAAGTATAGATTATCATTTCTGGGGGCGAGGTGATATCAGTTATATCGATTGATGGACAATATCATAAATGTCACAAGTTAGCGCAGAGAACAAGGGTACTATTTAAAACACGACTAAGAGCGCTTTGTCATAACATAGTCAGCGCTTGAGAATAAAACGCGAGTGGCAGTGTTTTAAGCATAGTATCCAAAGATCCCCGAGCCCACCAGTTGCACTGGCTAATTATAGTATTCTCTTGTAAGCAAACTGGTTATTTAACATTGAAGCTTTGTTTAACTAGCTAGTGATACACAGCACCATATTACTCTGGACCTAAAGAATTTAGTAACTTTTGCTTCACTCACCAGAAATAAACACCTTTATCTCTTGAACCAGAGGTTAATTATGTAAAATACACTAGAATTCTCGCCAAGTCCAGCATTTTCGTATTTACAGCATTCTGTATTTGTGCACAAACTGTCTTCGTCCAGGATGTGTTGACATTTTAGGCAAGTGGACGTTTTCTTAAAAGTATACGAAAGTTTGCTAAATTCAGTTTCTAGTTTATAGTTTGAAGTTGGACATTTGTTTCCTGTAGGAAGTGTGATTTGAAATAGTTTCAGAATACTGTTTGTAGCTGCCGATGAAAAGTTGTGCTTCTGTTGCAAGGCCAATAAAGTGCTGCGAAATTCGTCGCATGAGACTGGAGAACCATCGTAGAGTGGAACTTCAGAGTTTTGATCCTCGTCGCTATCGTTATCGTTGCTTTCATCATCATCGTGGGCAAGGTCATCATCGTCATCATCTTCATCATCATCCTCATTACCACTACTATCACCACCACCACCACCATAATTTTCACTTCCACCGTCATCACCACCGTCATCAACAGCGCCGTCATAACCATAACCATCATCACCACCAGCACGACCATTATCATCATCAATGCTATCACCATCAAAGTTAACATCATCACCACTGTTGTCAGTGTCATTTTCGCAGTCATCAGTATTGTCATAATCTCTATTGTCAATATCACCATCATGATAATTATTACGATCACTATGGTTACGTATATAATATGGTTCACCAACGCTTCGTTTTTCTGGAAAATAAAATCAATCGATTGATTGAAAAATTAAAACTTTATTTATGTGTCGGTTGTGCTGGTTTATTAGAAACTAATTGGGGACATCTGACTATTAAGCAATTATTGGATGAGGCTGAGCATGATATCAAGAATTATTCAGACCAAGGTCAATGTTATTTGCCGAAGCGAAGCTGAGGCGGATAACATAGACCGAGGTCTGAATAATTCTTGATATCATGCGAAAGCAGAATCCAATAATTGTTTTATTATACATTTAAAGACATGAGAAACGTATAAAACGATTCCTGTTCATGAGGTAGGAAAAGTACAATTTGAATATCAAACATCTTGCACAAAGTCAAAGGTCAGCTAAATATTATATTTCTACTTCTATTTACCCCTTTGTAGCTTTTTTCGTGCTTTCAGTATCCTTATCTGCCAATAATTTGGAGAGTTCACTTTCATTCAGCGAAGCAAATCTGCTGTCGGCCATTGTTTGTTTGTTTTCCCGCGCTTATAGGTTCAAGCTTTTGGCCGCGCAAGGGTTTGGGCACGAGAGAGTCCAATAATATTTTTTTTTGGATGCAAGTTCGATCCAAAAAAACAATTATTGGACGCTGATGACGTCATCGGCGGAAAATACGTAATAAATGCCGAATACTGAAAATTAGCCAGTGCTTTCTGACCAATTAGAAACGAGAATACATATTAAATGTATAATAAATTACTATAATACTTATAGTCAATAAGACTATTAAGGATATTAATTATTTCATATAAGCAATTATTAGTGATATCTGCTATAATCTGCTAACATATCTGCTTAATTTCGCTTCAGTACATGGGTATTAACTTTCTCAACTTCGTGAGTATGCCTACTTTTTCGCCTCTTTGCTACATACATCTGATGTGTTTGATAAATTTTAACTTGTGGTCCATAGCGATACCTAATAGGTTGATCTCCGAAGTACTAATGTATATCAACGTATCTGATATCAATGTCGTGACACTGCCCTTTTGAAATTGGTCTAACAAGACCTGAATTCTCGACGTAATGTTTCATATATAATTCAGCTGAAAGTGACACCCTACTGTGTTTTTGCAAGAGAAAAATTTACAATTTAGGGCTGAATTTTTCAACAATTCTTCGTTCGCACATGACGTCACTACGCGTAATTGGGCGCCATTTTGGTACATTCAAAGGTTTACTTTGGTCGTTAAAAGGCTATTAACCAAAATCGAAGCTGATTGGTCAGTTCTGCTTTTCCTTAGCACCGGGATGTCTCAGCAAGGATGCATCGTAATTTTATGTCTTTTTAGTTCAGTAATTTGCGAATTGGGATTCAATTTATATTATTTTGATAAATTTCGCAACATTCTCGGCCTAAAATACGCCAATATGGCCTTTTATATTTGTGGAGAATTCAACCTTATGCTTACTTATACAAAACACTTCATATAAAAAGCTCATGCGACTAAGACGATAAAAATATATTAAATTTTCATCCTTCGACTGCATGCTACCCCGTTGTTAAGAAAAAGCATAAGTTTTTCAGTCTAGATTTTTTAGTTTTTACTTGTTGCTTACTGTAATATAACTATAAGTATGAGGTGCAACCAAAAACAAGCTGAAATTAGAACGATTGGTGCAAATTTAAAAATATAACACAAATAGGCTACATGCAATCTGCTACGCTTTTTGTAATCAATTATTTAGCTATATCTAGTATCCGTAACCCCAAAATTGATTTTCAGCTTGTTAAAAATATACTACCAGTGGAACAGTTTTGCGAAAAATGTTTGCGTTTGGTTGAAAAGCAAAAAATTTAGAGCCACTTGAATTATGAATTGTTTGGTCAATGGACGTCGGGTACAGGAGTCTGGGTTTTGCACAATTTGTGATGTCACACGCGAGTTACTGAATTTATTACTAAATAAGTAAATACAGTGATACACAGTAAATACATTTTGCGATTCAATTTTATGAAACTTTGCCACAGTTTCTACTACGCTCAGTGATCGGTCCACCAAGGATAAAATATATTGTGTTATGCTCTTAAGTTGTTGCTGCAGCAATATTTATATACAATCATGATCATATGACAAGACAATTTGCAATTACAATCTTATGACAATTTGGTGCGCTATTCTGTCATTTCTGGGGCTACAAAGTTCACTATAGGTGTCACAACTGTAAACCTGTAGTATGTTAGTCATTGTGTTTCAAGGGGAAAGTGTTGAATCTGCGAAGTGCACATATATTTCTTACAATTAGAGCGGGCAGCGCATACTTTGTACTCACCAGCACATATCAAATGGCAGTATAGTGACACTTTACGATATTTCCACTGCAAAGAAAACAGCGAATGCGTTTTAGAACATACACTTACATAACATAATAAATATGTAATGTAACATCTATGTATAGCCCAATTTAAATTCCGTTGCAATTTAATACGATAGTTATTAATGTCGCGCGAACTGCCAGGCAAACTGCAAACTTTAAGAATCAATATTTTCGAATAAGGAAGCGTGCTCTTTAGTGGTATACTTGTACAACAAGTTGCATATTTCCAAAGTCCTATCGTATTGGCCAACGTTCCGTGGAGTGTTTTGTTATAATGAAATTTACATACAAATGCGCTCTTGCTGAAACCACAACTAAATAGCGTGACGTCACAAATAATGCTTGTTCCAGACTTCAAGCAGTTAGATATTCCGAAGGCCATGTGCCAAGTAAAATCCTAATATCTGTGAGTTCAAGTGGCTCTAAAATTTTGTTTTTTTACTCAAAAGCAAAAGTTTTTGCGAAACTACTACACTCCTACCATACTTTTACTTAAGCTGAAATCAATTTTGGGGTTACGGGCACTTTAAATATAAATACACACGAGTATCAACACCTTCAGGGGCTTTTACTTTTAAACCGCAAAACAGGTTCGAGTTTTATGCATGTAAACTGTGCGTGTATACTGATATATAAACATTGTATATTTTTAATACTTTCCAGTTGAAGTGAATTCGGCTTCAGTGTCGAGTATTAAAAATATGATATTCTGATGTGGCAATATTTTCACACATGCATTGTCAGCTGCAACAAAACTAAGGAAGGAAATACGAACAAGAAAGCTCAAAGCTCGCCCTTGATGTCACGAATACTGTATTATAAATATCAAAGCGTATTACTGATTCGAATATTTCATAACTTCAATACGTTCAGGTGATATAGATTTAATAATACGTACCACTTGAATAATTTTGATCTGTTTCGTTTCCGCTAGAAGAACTGCTACAGCTGGTATATACTTGCTCAGTCTCAGAACTTGACAACTTGCGTAAATATCCGATTTCTTTGCCGTACTGGAAGACCACATTACCTCCCTCCTCTTGCTCGCTTGATTCTAAACTGTATTCATCACTTGTTTCTTTTTCGATATTCTCCAAGCGAAATTTTTTGGACAGTGTCTCAAACTCGTTACGAGCATCAGCATCATGTACGTCTGAGGAACTGCCGTCGCTTAGCTCGTTTATATAATTAAACCGCTTAGACATATAAAAACTGTATAAATAAAATATTATCAACAAAATTTTACCACAAAGCATGATATAACCTTCCATTGCGCGGCATTTTGCGCGACATGTGGCATTAACTGATGATTGGCTAGTTTTAATCCTACACATGAAATGATTGGCAGACAGGATATTAAGGTACACCTAGTATGCATTATCGACGCATCTATCAGAGTTAACGTCATTCCACCAAAGTCTAAACTCGGTTGATTCAGACTTGTGCGCACATTTTTTTAAATTGATTTTGATAGAAAACTATATTACAATGGCTACCAATAGAATTCCAATATCGGAGAGGATGCAGAACAAGATCTTTAAAGACAAGTTTCCTGGTGAGTAAGTTTTTAATAGTAAACCAGTTTATTTCTACGCAATATAATATTACTGTCCCAATTATACTTCTTGGTTGCACTTTGTAATAACCAAACGCCATGTAATGTTTATGTAATGCCATATAACATTCAAATCACAATTCACCAGTGTATAGAAAATGTTATAATACATTGTACATGCATGTATACGTATATTTTTAAACAACACGTTGTCGAGAGCTTAGTAGGGTACAGTTTATGACAATTACTCAGATTAAATTGGACTTAGAATAGGCGCGCACAAGTACAGTATATAGCTGTACTACAGAATTTGCTTCAAGTGTTAATTAGCTCTTTGCCTGCGACGTTTACTAGTACCTAAGTAACTGCTATTTCATGCATTCTCCCAAGGTAGACCTACACAATTTGACGAATTTCCCATAGTCAGAACACAAACCTTGTTAATACTAATGGACAGTTTATTTTGGGTTCACAAAAAATAGCTGTTTCTGTAAAGATTTATTATTAATTAATATATCCACGGTTATTTTTACTACAGTATGATAAACTACTTATTTTGGACAATATTCGTGAAGATGTTGATATGTAATTAAAGCATACATATTCTGTTTGGTTTGTGAACACCTTGGCTTTGTATGTCATGCCACTGAATATTATATCAGTCCCCATATCACTGGTTATTTTTATTTATAGAACAGGATTTTGGCTATCATGCTAAAAATTACGAGTGTTAAATGTCTAACTAAGAACCATCTCAATTGTACCAAATGGAAATACAATTTTGGCATTGTAGTTTTTACACTGATCAAAATTTTGGGTTTGCCATGCATCGCCAGTGGCAAAAGGGCTGGTCTTCCTGTCTCCTGTCTTTCTAATTAATAGAGGTCCAGCTGTTTTTACACGCACTTATCACTTGTAATTAATAGGTTCTCGAAGTAAAAGCGAAGCGTGCTACATAGTGTATTATCCAGTGGAAATGCGTCATTCCTTGGTAGAAGGGAAAAATATTGTAAGCCCAGAATATCATGTTATAAGGGACAATGTTACTGTGAGAGATAGCAAAGGTGATACGTTTCAAGGAAAAGTTGTCTTTGTGGGTAAGTATATAATATTCAAAAACTCATTAATAATTCATGAGGAAAACACAAAGAGAAATCATAAGTGCGGCGTGTCTTTATATGTGATAAAACACGCTTCAAATTTCAACTTGTATTTTCTCCGCTAATACAAAGTTATTTTGGAAAATTATTTCGCCAATGCCGTGATCTAACTGAGACGTTTTTGAAGCTGTTTAATAAACTTGTAGTTCGTGTTTTATCACATATAAAACACTCCGCTACGCGTCGTGTTTTATATGTGATAAAACACTCCTACTCGTTTATTAAACATTACGTAAAGTAGCAAACGCTGCTCAGTTCTAGCCATTTTATCAGCAAATGAGCAAACCTGCAATCTTTCCATATATCACCCGGTATTTTTGCATGGGTAAAGCAACTCAGACGAATCATCTTTTCGACTTTAAGGTGGCTCGCTACAGTTTATAGAAATGTTGAAAATGCGTAAACTAGATCACCTTTTTGAAGAGATGATGCAGTTTACAAATCGAAATTTGTATATTATATATACAGCGACAATCAAACAGTCGAAAATTGGTCAGAAAAGTGACGTCACCACTGTTGCTATGGCAACAATGACGATTCAAGATGGCCTATATTTTGGCTTTGAACGCATTTTACTTTAAAAAAAGGTCGGTTGCCCCCATTTTTTATTTCAGAAAACATTTTCTTATAGTGAAATGCACTGTCTGACCAATTTTTAAAAAATTCTGTAATGCAAAAAAAAAAAATTTCGAAAAACCATGTTTATAATTTTTTTAAAAATTTGGCATTGCAGAATTTTTAAAAAATTGGTCAGATAGTGTATTGTACAATAAGAAAATGTTTTCTGAAATAAAAAATGGGGGTAACCGACCTTTTTTTAAAGTAAAATGCGTTCAAAGCCAAAATGTCGGCCATCTTGAATCGTCATTGTTGCCATAGCAACAGCGGTGACGTCACTTTTCTGACCAATTTTCGACTGTTTGATTGTCGCTGTGTATATAATATACAAATTTCGATTTGTAAAGAGCATCATCTCTTCAAAAAGGTGATCTAGTTTACGCATTTTCAACATGTCTATGAACTGTAGCGAGCCACCTTAATACATAAGCTTGCCTAATCTAAACGGCATACTGAGATGTGTACTCGAAAAATCCTCGTTCCCTAAAATTCTCAACAAATAAAAAGTTTCTAAACTTCGAATAAATCTAAAAAAAAATATCACTCAAAAATCTGCTAAAAAACCTTTCAAAACCTCAAAAAATGGCAGCAAAAAATCCCCAATTCCCTGAAAAGTTGTCAAAAAATCCCAAGAACCAGAGATTTATTTAATTTTTTTGCAGGGATTTTTTGATAAAAAATCATCCTGTGGTTCTTTAAAGTAGTCAGAATGTCCGCAAAAGTAAGCCTCTATTATGAATGTATAGTAATTTCAAATTGTCGTACCATCTTGTACTACAGGAGACAGAGAGCAGTGCACTGTGAAACAAGTAAAATTGGACGCAGCCTTAGAAAGAGTTTTGGGTGGTGACTTCGATGACGATGGAGATGTTTTAAAGGACAGTGAGATTGACAACAATGACAAGAACGTCAACGAACAAGAGAAAAATCATTCATCGTCAAAGAAAGGTATTGAAAGAATTTAAAATGATGTCTCTCTGTATAAAAATGATGTTAATATACCAAAAGTGGTTTTCGTTTCAGCATCAGGCAAGCAGAAAGCAGCATCCACTGCAAGCTTGTCTAAAACACGCGTACATGCGAAAATCCACTTGGAGACAAGTGACGAGGAAGAGGAGGAAAGCGTTGTAAAATCAAAAACAAATGGTATGCAGAACTCACTTTCATTGTATAGATACGGTGAATATAGGGGCATTGTTTTGTTGTATTAGCTATAGGGGCATGGTATAAACCCGTTTTTAAATACTATAGAATAGGGGTCTTTTGGGGTATGTGGTACCAACATAGTATCCGTGAAGTGTAATATAAACAGCCTCGTATCCAGGCGCTATAAAAGGAATTGCGCTAGGCGCGCGTGGTGCTTGGGTAACTTGTTTTATAGCGTCTGGGTACGAGACTGTAATATAAATGTATACGGCTAGTGTATTTTGCATACCCGATGATCATGATTGGCTCTTGTTATGCATACAATTTTTCTGTATATGTATTTTTAGATATTTCAGCAGAACTAACTAAGGAAGCAGAAAGGGTTAGCAGCCTTTTGAAGGTGTCACAACGAAAGGTATAGACAATGACTAATTTTAAGTGCGACTTTCTTTTGATACATGAGAACTACTAGTGGATTAAATTCGATTTTATCTGACACTGCAGAGAAAAACGAAAAATTCGTTGCCTTGAACGAAATTTGAACTTCCGTTTCGGGTTTCTACAAAGCCGCTCTACACATTGAGTTTTCAAGCCAACAGGGATTTGTACCGTGTATTATTATATGGCTTTTCAAAATTCTCTATTCTGATTGGTTGACAAGCGGTCCGTAAAAACCCATATCCGGACCGTGGTCCGTATTTTCTGTATCCGAACCGGTGTCCCGGATGTCGTTTATCTGGCGGGAAATTTTTGCTTTGCAAACAGAAAAATTTTTGCTTTTTAAATTTCCAATTGTGCTTTACAGATAAAAATTTCAAACAACCAAATTGTTTTTGATTGAGCATGCATGCCTACCGTATATTGTTACCCAGTGAAACTGACGATAGCCGAGTTTAATTTAATTCGCGCGAAAAGCATACGCTCACAGACTCAGTTCAGCCATATAATAAATCGATTATTGACCTCGTTTGTTCGGTCTGTACTGTGAAATATCAGACCTCTGTTTTTTGCATGGACCTCACTCCTTCGACGCTCGGTCCATACTGAAAAACCTCGGTCTGATATTTTACAGTACAGACCTCACTATTATCCAATTTAGGTGTACGAAAAATTTTCGTGACAACTTAACACTTGTCTTTGAGGACGCGCAGTGTTTCAATTATATTTCAGAATATCCACAGAGATATGAAAAACTAATTTCATATTATTCTGATACAGCCGAGAACAATGAAAAATTTGTTGTCTCGAGCAGGATCTGAACTCCCATCTTCGGGTTTCTAGACCGCCGCTGTACCCATTGAGCTATCGAGGCGCCAACGGGGATTGACCAGGATCCATATCTCTGTGGATGGTTCTGATAAAGAATTGAAACACTGCATCCTCATTGAGTTTGACAGGGATGAAAGAGATCACTACTCGGTCGGACGACATAAAAATGCTGCTTCAGGAGCTTGTTAATGAGACGAGGTTGAAAAGACCGTTTTCGGATTCACCGTCGTTTCCAGTTTACACGCCACCAGAGAAGAAGGCCAGAATGGGAAATTCCTCCAATGGATCAACACCGGTAAAATAACTTAAAATATGTAGTCACTGCCTCTGGTATTGTTATTTCCGGTATACACAGCAAGAATGCCCATACAAAAAGATCCAATTGGAATTCGGACCAAGGAGATTTGTTTCTGACCGAAGTTCAGTGGATTCAAAAAGATAATTTAAAAACTGATTAGAATTCCCAATTCCCAATTGCTTCCAGTTTGGCTAATTGGAAACGCCAATTGGAATTCCAGTTGGATTTGTTGTAAAGAAGATAAAACGAAAGGAACTAACATGTCCATATATTTCAACTTAATTGCAGAGATCAAACGGGTCCCCAAGTGTTGGTGACAATGCAGATGCGGCTGATGAAATTCATAATCAGGAAGAGTTTGTAAGTATTTTAATAAGCAAATTGGGAGATTATGGGATTGCTAAAATAATTATGCAAAAAACTGTAGAAAAAATATTTCCCTAATGAATCAATAAATAAATCAAATCAAATCAAAAGAAGAGGTACATGTATTAATGAAATCAGTTTAAAAAAGAGGTATAGTCCGTTAACACATGTCAGCTTTGTTTACATTTTCTCTATCAAAACAATTTACTTTATTAAGGGATTCAACAAAGTCGTGGCAATTTTATGCGCGTGCATTTTAAGCTTTTGAGAATAACTTATTGAATACCAAGTAATCTTCGAATTTTTAGATAGTTGGTGGGGACCTTTTGCTGGATATAAATGCTAAATTCAAAAAGCCAAATTTGTATGCCACATGCCTGCTATCGCATCTCTTCTCTGAAGAAGAAATGAGAGAGGGTGCACTAGAGCCAGGTGAACACTGCAAGAAAGCTGCGTTAGATCAAGAAAGGATAAACAAGATAAAAAGTAAGTTGTTACAGCACATTTATAAGAACAATGTAACTGTAAAATCACATACCGCATTGCCCAAGATAATTATACTAGTCAGGATAATTACGATCATAGGATTTCCTCGTCAAGACTAATTTATAAAATATAAAGCAACAGTAACTCCGAAAATAAACATTTTAATCGTTCTAGCTTTCGACTAAGATCCAGTCATCATCAGGAATGATGCTAGCATCATTCCTAGCATCATTCCTGATGATATGACTGAATCTTAGTCGAAAGCTAGAACGATTAAAATGTTTATTTTCGGAGTTACTGTCTGTTGTTTTATATTTTATTAAAATACTCAGTGGTTCCCGTAACTAATTTATAACACATTATTTTGTTTGGTAGGATGTATAGCCATTAAATACGGTGAAAAATCCTTGGAGAAAAGAGGCTGGCACGATATACAAATCAGCTTGAACCAAAAGTGTTTGGACAAGTTGAAAGCTTGGAAGTGAAAGAACGCAGATGATCTGAACGCAGATGCTCTTGGTTCGAACAATGAATATACATTGAACAGTTATACATGCTTTTACTTGCGTTTATTTGGATTTATAACTTTTAAATTGTTTATAAAGTATTATTAATTAAAAAATCTCCACAGCTTCATAGGCAAATTACCCATTTCTGACCTGATGCTATGAATTTAAAGGTGATCATCTTCATTGCCCTTTTTCAATACAATAGCTAATTTCACAATACACAGTTATTTGAATTTGTATATGAAGCATGAAGGAGGTCTACTATAACTGGTAATTAAATGTTGCATTAGTGGGAAATTTGGACTTGTAACAGGAAATTAAATAATTCATTGTAGTTCCTGACATTAGATTCTGTAAATCCTGACAAGATCCTATAGGATCCTGCTAGGAATTCTGTAGGATCCTGGCAAAATGCTATAGGATCCTGCTAGAAACCTTGTAGGATCCTGATAAGATCCTACAAGATCCTGCTAGGAACTTTGTAGGATCCCGACAGGATCCTGCTAGGAACTTTGCAGAATCCTGACAAGATCCTGCTAGGAACTTTGTAGGATCCTGATAGGACCTTTGCAGGATCCTGACAAGATTCTGCTAGGAACTTTTTAGGATCCTGTATAGAATCCTGTAGGATCCTGAATAGGATCCTGTAGGATCTTGAACAGGATCCTGTAGGATGCTATAGGATCCTACAGGATCCTGAATAGGATCCTAACAGGATCCTAGTAGGATCCTAGCAAGATCCTGGCAAGATCCTGTTAGGATCCTGTTAGGATCCTACCTAGGATTTCTACCAGGGTAATGACAAAGCTTTGAAAGGATACCAATATTTCTTTTTACTTTTTTGACAGTGTAATTAATATGACTTTTCCAACTAAGATTGGAATATATCATTACTCCAAAGTACTTTATCGACTTCTCTTGTTTTAATGTTCATTATTGGTAATACTTGTAAATTGTTTTTTATTGTGCATTTTCTAGAATGGAATATCACAAAGTTAAATTTAGATATAGTAAGAGACAGCTTGTTAACACAAAGCCATTCATAAACCTTATCTAGCTCATTGTTTAGATCAGTTTGGAAGTTCGAATTATTATCTTTATAGAATAAATTTGCATCATCTGCAAAAAGATGCAGTAGAGGTCCAGCTTGAAGTAGGGCGTCTCCGATTGGCTGTCCACTAATTAATTGTAGCAAATGTAGCAAATCAAAGGGAACGCAAAACATATCATATAACAGCTTGAGTGATCTTCTATAAAAAAAGCTTTTTGTGAAGTGAGAGATGAGGAAAAAACAAGCCAGAGCAATAAACATATCTCTAACTGTCAATAGGGCTGGCTTCGCAATGGTTTTAAATTGTTTTCGTGTGCCGTAGTATTGAATACCAGGTATGACATTGTTATTTAATACTGTGTCTAGTTCCTCCCACAGTTGGGTATCTACTTGGCCATTCATTTTGCAAAGGTTTTATATCTTTTAACAAACCAAAGCGCTTACATCAACAGTTAATAATATTATATACAAAGCACAATAGTCTGGAAAAGGCAAATGATTCTTGCATGAATATATCAACAAACCAATGAGCTTACCTGATCCATTTATCACAGAAACAATACGCAGATGTGAGCATTGGTCAATATGCAATGACGATGCATATAATAGAGTCGTGGTGGTCGTTTTTACGACGATATGGAAGAGCCAACTGGTGGATCAATTATTTTAAAGACTTGCGAGACAGTGGTGGGTTTAATGACAAAGATCTAATACAACGCGCGTGTTTACAATTCTATTTTATGAGCATCATTCAGAAAGATTTAGATTCAATTCGAATTAGGTGGAATAGCCATAAAATTAGAGCAACTCGTCACCAAGAATGCCCACCCGGCAAGCCAGATGTACTGTATCACTTACCTGATATCCATGGTGTGGAAGTTTATAAATTACCGTTTGATGATCACCTGTTAGAAATGCTACATCCTCTGAAACGTGAAAAAAATCCTTTTGGCTGCGACAGAATCTTTGCGGACGTATTTAGTTTATTAATGACTGAAAACGGTTGGCAAATTCCATCAACTCATGACGAAACTTTGGTACTTTATTGCAATCTTGTTGCTGCATGCTCGGAACGAATTTCACAGGAATAAATATTGGTATAATATAGAACAAAGAAAAATTAGTTGATAAAGCAAAATATGACTTTTGAAACAGAAGAGTTGTGAGAGTTTTATTATATGGAAGAAACAGGGCGCCTTAAACCCAAGAATGTAATGCGTCTACTTCCTTATGTTGTACGACATCAATTACCACACCGTCAAATATTTAATGTTATTGCTTGGCATGTATCAACAAAAGACCTTTCTCGTTGTCGATTCCAGTTTTAGATAAATCTCGTCAATGCTACTTGTAAGAATTTCTTTTAGGGGTTGAAGTACAGCGCTCCATCTTTCTGTAATATAATTCGGTTTCTGGATTATTTCTTTATGCGCTAACTTGATGAAAATTTCCCTGACATTGTCGTTGTTAGGACGTTGCCTCACGCCATAAGAGGATAAAATATCCACAAATTCGTCACTGTTACAAGCCATGTTCGCAGACAAACATTCACTTATGGTATCTGCCTCGTCGATTGAAACAAATTTCAACAACTCTGCCATCAATTCCTCTTCAGTAACAGATACTTCCCCGTGAAGAATTACTTTTATGAAGACGCGAGAGAGGGACACTGGAAAGTATTTACATTGAATAAAACCTCTCAAAAGGAATAACGCAATAGCGTCCCATAAAACATAAAATCAGTTAGTGCATCATAAAACTTTCCCCAAAACATCGCAATTACATCGTGGACAACCCCAACCCCCTTTTCGTATTTCCCTCTATTATCGATACCTTGAATAACCATGTCGAGGTTTGGGTCGCACAAACTTTTGTTTTCTTGAAATTGTTTGATGATGTCAGATAGAACAGTACTGCGATGAACTGTAAATTGAATGGTTTCTGGCAATGGATCATCGAAGCAGCCTTGCAGACTCCTACAGGTATTAAAAACATTAAATGAACATTCAGTTTAAAATTCTGCGAAAAACTCAACAAAATTCATACATTTACATTTTTGGGTATATAAATAAACGGCTTAAGATGACGATGCGTTTCGGTTTAAAACAATCTAGACTTCAAAATAACACTGCCTCCCTGAATTACTAAATTGATGTTAAAATTGCTTCTAAATACCGTGTAATGATGGACAGTACCATCGACAGCTTCTTCATTGTTTGTCAATCAACTTGAAATATCATCTGGCAAAGAGTCTTCAACAGATTGGTCTGCAGGTGTAAAATGGGAAACCTATGGAATAAACCAGATAAATATATAAATAGCATTTTATGGCTTTTGATATCAGCAGACACATGGAATGCGCTATTCTACATCATATACAGGCAGGCAACAGAATGTAGAAGTGCAAGTTTTCAAACTAAAATTAAATATGTGGGAATGACTGGTCATTTTTGGATATCATTCCTTTCATAAACCCCAGAATGTGAAGATTTAGAACATTCTTTATAGTACTTATAATGTAAATAAATCAAAGATAAATACATGCAGTAGTGCTCACGTGACAAATAAAATATATAGGACACTCGCACTATCAATGTCACTGTCATGCAATCACCGCAATGTGGCTTTTCCAATTCACAGCACTTGCTTATCAAGTTTGTTGGAAATATTCTCAAGTATACTGTTCCAAATTTGGAATATATTTCATGGGAAACTAGTACTAAACATTCCATAAACTCTTGGGCATGGCAAATTGATTAAAAGAGTTCCGCGAAGAAGCTTTAAAAATTTTAATGTGGAACTACGCATTGAAGACCAAATGCATCGAATCAGAGACTGCTGGACGTGCCCCGTTATGAACTCATGCACTTTTTTAAAGACAAATTGAATCCGCTTTAATTTTTAATTGTTTGTTACCTCGATTACGACTTCACAATCGATGGCTGTACTAACCAAAACAGGTGCTGAAGGTGGCACTGGATCATCTGTCTGCTCCATGTACAGCATCGTCTGAGGTACTATTGTGTTCTAGTCATGGCAAAGAGTGCAAAATGTGGCGGATCTAACTGCAGCGAACCTATCCAGTCGTAAACTGCCTGCATAATGGCAGTGGGGTAGAAAGCACGCGTTACAATACCACCACGTAGGTACCTTACACAAACAACTACATGGTCTTCTTCAATATGTGGTCCTTCCAGTACTCTTGCCTCCCTTTCGTGTTTCAACAGCTCCATTTCCCTAGCAATTTCTTTTTCCTTTTCTTTTTCTTGTTCTTTTTGCTGATCCGTTTTAAGTGCTTCGTCATATTCTTTGTTTTGTTGCTCGATCAGCGCTCTCCTTTATATACTAGATTGTGTCAGTGCGGCAGGTTCAAAACCAGTGCTTAGCTCGTTATCTTCATGTTGCTCAAACTCTGATGTTGACAGAACATCGACTAATTGGGAGTACATCGATAGTTCATCTGGCGTGTTGTCAGAGCCAATTTCAGATATTGCATCATGTACAAAATCTTCGAGCATCTCCTTACTTTTGTCAGATTGATCAACAGTAATGTTGGAAATCGTACTTGCAGGTGTTTCGTTTATTGGGAAAAGATCGTTTGACTCTTCATTGCCATTCTTTGGCTTTTCGCACGTCATCAAGTATACTCTTGGTGTGTTCCCTTTAGAGACGGACGCATGGTTACGATATTTCTCGACAGTAAATACTTAGCCATCTATGAAGGACACTTGGTCACCACAGTAATTACCAAGAAAAATGTCTACGTCATTTATTGATATGCCTTGCGTTTGCTGATTCCTTTTGGAAAGAATAGGTCTTTACATACATTTAGTACTTCGTCATAGGTAGCATCACATCTAAAGTCTTTCATCCTTGTTCCACCTCCTTGCAGAAATTTAACTTGACGATAATCGTTTTTATTTCTTGCATGACATCATCCTATTTCCAGCTTTAACATATTCTTTTTTGCAGAAGATTTTTTTTCTATCCTTTTTTGATTCTTTGCTTTCAGGAAGTCTTTTAGTTTTTCAACGGCACTAGATTTTGTGTCCTGGTTATTGAACGAAGCTTGCAACGCCCTTCTATCACCAGTTGTGAGGCCCAGAATGACAGCAGAAGCATCGACCTAGTCATTGAACAAAAGTTAAGAAAATAAGACAAAAATCCATTTAGCCATTTTAACAATAAATACTTACACCCTATTACACTGCAAATAAGTGCATGTGCCTTAAAGCCGATAATCACAACACCTTTCGTTAGGACATATAGGCATATAAAAATCCACATATAAATATGCTCCACTCCTCTGAGAATGAATTTCATACTTAACAAAGGAAATTGTATATATTTTATACAACAACAAATACCGTCGATTGCAACAAAGCGGAAACATGTCATGAGAAAACGCGATCCAATTGGCTGTCAAACATGATTTGTTTCAACTTCAAACATTACACGATTTTACTGCAAACATTTACGTTTCCAACTGTCAACTGTCAATATTCCAAATTTAGAAACACATTCATATTGGGCGGGGATTAGTTTGCAAGCACTACATCCGTGATCAGAGATTAAATTCGTCTGAATGGAGGCCCTGTTTACACTATACTGGATTACTTTTCATACCGGATTAATTTTCACTCCGAAGTAACAAACAAGGGTGTTTACACTATGCATGCCGCTTCGCTCTGTAAGTAAAATTTTGGCAGTATGCTAAAATTTATTAAAAACAAGAAGAAACACACACGTTTTGTTTGTAAAGTAGAACTTTGTTTAAAAAGCTTGACTACCAGACGACGACGTTGCTTCGTTTTGCTCTAATCCAAAATTGACAAATGTTAGTTCTTTAAATTTTGCCTTATCAAAAGCGAAAAGTCAATTCTTTTATCGTTTTCTTTATTTGTCTTCGCCAGAAATAATTAATGGTTGTACGGCAAAACAAACGACAGCTCTAAAGTATTGTAAAAGCGAGCAAATAAAGGCGACAATGGTGAAACGTACACGCCAAAACCGATATATTTTGTACCGAAGCGTACCGGATTGGCCTGCTTAGGGAAGCCTACATATCGATTTTGTCCACGAGAAACGTCATATGTTCGTTTGTGGGTGGGGGTGGGTTTGCAGCTGTGATGTTTCTCTACAAAACATCATGGAAAAATTCGATAGTTCTTTCGAAAGCCTTTTTTTGAACATTTCCGAATCATCTTTGCAGAATATAAAAAGAAAATAACTTGATACAAGCACCAGTCTGTAATACCATACCTGTTCTATACATTTACATTATTACACCTTCCTTGCATTGAAACAATCAAATTTCAAGAAAAACGTGCTAAAATTGTTAATATCTCAGGCAAAAAATTGTTTTGAGAAACATTGGAAATTTTGAAGTTTATATATTAATAAAAAAACATATGCTTGCAGATGACATATTCCTCGCGGAAGCATTGCCAATTCGGAGCAATAGCCGACCATAGAAAATACCTTAGGTGTACTATAAGAACAAAATATCGGTAACTATGTGTGATGTTTCTAAGGGGGGTGTCTCCAGAGAAACGAGCATATGACATTTCTCTGGACAAAATCGATATGCGAGGCTTCCCTTACACTGCTTCAGCACATACCGGATTACTTTTCATACTAGGAGTTACTATCGCAAGGAAAATGCTGCCGATATGTACATGTAGGATGTGCTACAAAAAGAGCGTTTTTCACTGCATGTATGATTTATTGTCTTACACATCGTCGTTCCTCACTTACCTTCGTACAATTATATCTTACATCTAATCTTATGAAAAGTATATTTTAATATACTTAACAGTGCGACTTTGATAGTTGACACATAATATAAATGATAAAATGTGAATATTATTGAATGATTTTGTCACTCCTACAACTTTTAATTTGGCTATTCAAACAATTGATTTATGCCAAATTAGTCAAGATATTATACCAATATTCTTTCTGTTGAACTCTTCGCGGAGTTATTTTGATGTGTCAATGTCTGTGATAGATGGTCGGAAATGTCAATGTCCAGTGATACAGACAATCTTTATTCGTAATTTTTGAACTCCGCATGCTATCGCCACTGGAAAATATATCGCTTCTTACTCGCGTGGATAAACCATTGTTTAATATGTCCATCACTTTATGTACATCATCATTAAGAACAGTCCAGAAAAAGGATGTGACGGTATATATTTGATTTTGAAACAGTACGTGGATTAATGCAATCAGCTGTATTTAACCTCGCTTTTACATCAGAGCTGCTAATGTGTGGACTACATTTAAATTTAGTCTAATGAAATATTAGTATATTACGTAGAATTAACTCGACAAATTTATGATCCTGAAGATCCAAGACATTTAAGTCTTTTTTTATTATTATTTTATTATTGTTACTGGATTTTAAAAAGATACACAAAAAAGGAGTCCTTAATTACCATGTATTTACAAGGATTAAATTATTAGAGACTTATAAATACTTTACAATTATCAATTAAACCTTGAACCTCTATGTATTTAAAAACTATTATTATAACTATTTATTATAGCATAGACTTAAGGCTAGTTTCCACTCAGGAAAATTATCTGTGGATTGGAACGGACAAGAAAATTTTTCTTTGTGTTAAGTCATTTAGTTCCAACCCAGAGTCACAAGACAAAAAAAATTTTCTTGTCTGTGCCAATCCACAGATTATTTTCCTGAGTGGAGACTAGCCTTAATGTCTTCTAATGACGATCTAATCACACTGCAATAAAATTGTAGCATATCATGTTATGGTGCACCATATTTCTTTAGAACTTTAAAGATAATAGATTCTTTTGCATTGTCCTTTCTTAATAATGAAATCCATGTTGCTGATCCATTTAAAATCGTTATATATCCACGTTCCTAAAAGTTTATAACTTGTACCTCTTTCGACTATACGTTCATTAAAAGAAGTATTAAGGATATTACTCCTTTGTGTGCGAAGATCAATGATCATTTCTTTGGTTTTCTTTGGATTTAGCATAATTTTCTCGTTTGTACAGAAACCTGACCTTTGAATGGTAGCAGAAATGTCCCCAATGGTTTGGTTTTCAGTATGATCGGCAACATTTAAAATTTCGGAGAGCGTGCTATTGTCAATGAACATAGATACCTTGATCCCCAACACAGTTAATTATTCACATAGTATTCCTTGAAGCATTCGACCTCATTGACCACAATAGTTTGTTAAAAGATTTTTAAGATGTTGGAGTGTGTCCAGCCTTGAGAGCTGTCCAATTTCAGAAGTAAATGCAGGAGTACTGCAAGGAAGCAAAATAGGTCCTTTTGCTTTTGTAGCAAAAGTTAATAAGCTACCGAACATTGTAGTAGCTGATCCCATGTCAAAAAAGGTTCTCCAAAGCAGCAAACCACATGTGAAACATCTCTAGTAAAGCTAGCACAAGTGACGAGCTTAGCAATCCTCCAAACTGTCGGTTGTTAATGTTTTCCTTTGCATCATCAAGCATCCATTCCATAGCATAACTTTCTTGCATCTTTGAAAAAATACTGGTTATAGCTATTGGTCTCACAGTAGTATATATAAAAAAAAACGGGGGGGGGGGCCGGGAACCAGTGTAGATTTAACTGGGATTAGTATTATGAGATGGGGTGTGGCAGGGTGTGGCAGGGTGTGGTAGGGCGTTGGCAGGGTCTGTACGGACGGGGGGATTTTGTAGGTCGAATATGCAGATTTATTTAAGAGTATTTTAGCATGCGGGAATTTTAAATCTACACGGTGTTCCTGTAATTCTACGCTGGTTCACACACTAAATCGTTGTGATGACAACGGTGACGTCATAGACGTGTGTGCGCGAGTAGCGTTGTTACCCCGAAGCCTTGGTTGACCGAACTGAAGTGATTTGAAATTGGCGCGCTGTTTTGTAGAGGTGAGGGGGCGGGGCTTGTGACGTGTGTTGGCTGCTGATTGGTTAATAAGTGATAATAAGGAATAATAAGGGATAATAAGGAATAATAAGGGATAATAAGGGATAATAAGGGGTTAAGAAGTGATAATAAGGGGTAATGAGGGTAAATATTACAAAAAATAGTGTAAAAAATGGATTTTATTCAAAATTATTTGATATTTACATAATTTTTGGTTTAAAATTATCATTTATTTATTTTTTTCTAGTTTTTCTACTGTTTCTTTTTGTTCTTTATTTAGTATTTGGTTCAGAATCAGAATCCATTAATTTTTTCTAGTGTTTCTTTTTGTTCTTTTATTATATCTAGAGCTTTTCCTCTACAGTCTGTTATGTATTCGTACATAACATAGTCGTTTGTTGAGCTGCATGTGATGGTTGTTGTTGATTTGGTCAATACGGTTTTTCTCTTTTTCTCTGTACCGTCGAGAGCTAAGAGGATAAGGTCTTGACTGTATATCTTAGATTTGCCACACGATTCGTTTGCAAGTTTTGATAAGGTGTCGAATCTGGAGGGTCGACCGACACCGCGCGGTACATCGTAGATTTGGGATTGGTTTTAAAATTGACAAAATCGTAGTACTCGTTGCAGTGGTGTTCCAAATTAGTGTCGGTAATATTTACTTTGTTTAAATCGAGGAACGTTAGGAATTCGCTTTGCTCTTGACTTAGTTGCGCCATGTTGATGAATAAAGATTTATTAAAATAAAATGCGAATAAAAGGTTGTGAAATTCGATTATTGACGGGTTGATTACCTTATATGGTATAAGGGTATTGCAAAGCGAATTACCTTATAGGGTTGAAAAATGTTTCGGAAGCGAATTACCTTGTAGGGTATCTATTGTTGGTGTCTATGCATTACCATATAGTGTTGAAAAATGTTTCGGAAATATGAGATATGTGTTTTTGTTTTAAGTTTAATGAAACAAGGTGTGAGTTTGATGACCTTAGTGGGGGTTATGACCTTGCTTTTGTGTTATTTTTTTATGACATATGTGACGTCTTGGGAGATTGATTTAACTCTTATAATGGATTTGTTAGATATTATAATTTTTGAGGAATATTGAAAAAAAAGAAAAATGGCTGTATCTTTATCTAAACCTATGAGTTGGTTTGAGAAATTTGATGAGGCTTTGTATGCTTTATCTTTGCAGGGTGTGTTACAAAAATTGCTTTTTGTTGATCACACGCGTATAGGGCGTAGTGTTGATTGGTTTTATGACGATTGGTATTCACAGCTACGATATGTGATTTATATTGAAAGTGTTCAAAAGTGTTTTAGATATCGACAATATTGTGTTACAGTGTGTAATATTGGGCTTACTGTAGTTCACGAAACGAAACGAAACGAAACGAAATCTGCACTTTGCGAAATTGTAATTTGCGAAATCTGTAATTTGCGAAATCTGCAGTTTGCGAAATCTGCAGTTTGCGAAATCTCTAGATAGATTGCTATTCAAATTTGCAGTTTGCGAAAACATATAGCAGAAAGTAAAAAAAAAAGTTTTACCTTTTCGAAGTTTTCGATGCGATCACCAACATTTTTATGTCAAACCTCGCGGCTGCGATCCACTTGACCATCTGAAGAATTTCCGGGAAAATCCCATAGTCAGGGCAAAATTTTCAATCAATTTGCTGGCAATGGTGTATTTTCAATCTTAAACTTTTACATTTTGCAGTCTCAGACATATAATTATATAAAGAAGTTTATTTGACACTGCCACTGAAATATAACTAATACAAGTAAAGCAATTAATTTATTGTGATAACGTTTTATCGCAATTTAATATGACTTCGTGTAGTCAGGTAGGTTCTTAATTAACTAGGTTAACTTGCACAGAATTTAATTGTACTGTTGACGCCTCGCCCTCGGAACATGTGAACATTTTTTATTTTACCCTAAACTACAGATATTTCGCAAATTACAGATTTCGCAAACTGCAAACTGCAGATTTCGCAAATTACAGATTTCGCAAACTGCAGATTTTGCAAACTGCAGATTTCGTTTCGTTTCGTAAACTACAGTTTCGTAAACTACAGTAAGCCGTAATATTGTTTTTTGTTCAAATCATAAAATTCAGCTGTTATTGCATAATGGTAGTCATCGGATTGTTTTTCTTGAACGTTTTATGGAAAATAATATTCAAAGTCGTTTGGAGTCTATGTTAAATTATTATACAGATTGTAATAATACAACCCCTCCTATGACAGTTGTGAGACGTGTATCTAAAGCTACGGGTGTTTTGATATCGCCGACTATTATTCAATTTGCACGAAGTGAATTAAGTCATGGAAGATATTAATTTTAACGATATACAACCTCAAGATGATAGGGTTGGTGAAAATGAAAAATTAAGTGTATATACATCATTAAGGGAAGTAAGAACATTTTTTTTTTATGTTGGATTTGATGGAGGATCGTGCTCTTTTTTCTACCAATAGATTTAGTGTTATTTGTAATGGGTATATAACTCTTGTTCCGAAGTTGTATTTTTATTTTCTGGGTTTACGTAAGTCAGAGGGTGTACGCATAGTGAAAATTGGTGTATTGGATTGGAATAAGGGTCTTTATGGTAGTGTGTGTGTGAAGTATCAAATACACCCTCGTAATTCAAAGTATACTTCTAGTTCAAGAAGATGGTGTAATCCGAATTCGCGTGTGACAGGTTCGGCGAAATTGAATGACTGTATATACCAGCATTATATTACTGAAGCGTTTGAACGAGGATTTACAAGTTTAAAAGTGAATAGTTACTTTCATGTGGAGTATATTATAGACTATTGTCTGCGAACATACGGTTGTTATTTTTCAAAACGTTTGACAGAGATTTTATGCTATTATGAGAGTGTTTTAAGATGTGTACGTTTTTATTTACGGGAACATTGTACATGTGGATCAGATCATTATTTTGTTGCGGGGAGATATTGTAAATGTGAAAGTTTATGTATGAGTGTCCCGCATTTGTATCGCGATTTTGGATTTATTCGTGAAGATGAGTTGTTGTTATTTTAAATCTCCTGTTGATGTAGAAAGTATGTCTGTTAGAAAAGACGTATTATATTGATGGACGATTTTTACATTTCGCTTATTGGTTGTATGTGAATGAAGAGATAAATAAAAGTGAAAATATGGTATTTTGCATGACGTTACTACCCCCAAAGTGTTTGAAAATACATGTGTTTGCAGATATATCAATAACATGGAGACCGTGTGTTTTAGACGGTGTTGTTGACCGACAGTCAATGGGTTTTGATTATCAGAATAAAAGTGGTTGTCTACACAGTGATGATTTATCAGAGGACAGTGTGGCAATTATGTTTTCGTTATTAGAAAAAACAGTTGAGACTTTACGTTATTTTTGCATGGAACATTTTGGACGAGATGATAAACAGAAATGTTTATCGGAAGTAGTTGATTTGTTTGAACATAAAGCTATTTATGTTTCACCGTATTTTGTGGTTAGTTTTATGGATTATTATAAGATGATGCGCGACAATATGTCGTTTATGGAAAATAATTGTAAATGTTTTAATATAAAATGTTGTAATTGTGAACGGGTAGTTGATTTTTTTTCAAAATTATAAATGATTTTTTTTATAATGTGTGTGTTTGATATTTTTGTCTCAGTATGTATTTAAATCACAATGGGCGAACAACTTGAATCGCTTTTTGGAAGACAACATAATCAGTTAAATGCTAGTGAAGTGATGTTAGTGGAGAAATATAAGCAGGATATTGTGAATAGGATTACACATGAAATCTGCTGTGTTGGTGTAATGTACTCAGGTGAATAAGATGTTTGTGTGATGTTACTCTGAGTGTATATCCACACCGGGCAGGCTTGAAAAACATGCCTGGCCACGGCCGGATTCGAACCTACGACCTTTGGAATACTAGCCCAATGCTCTTCCAACTGAGCTACGCGGTCAGGACGGTTCGAGTATGCGATATTTCGGAACTGAGTCTAGTTCCTTCGATATCAGTATAATCTAATAATCATGAAATCTGCTGTGTTGGTGTAATGTACTAAGGTGAATAAGGTACCCATATCGAAGGAACTAGACTCAGTTCCGAAATATCGCATACTCGAACCGTCCTGACCGCGTAGCTCAGTTGGAAGAGCATTGGGCTAGTATTCCAAAGGTTGTAGGTTCGAATCCGGCCGTGGCCAGGCATGTTTTTCAAGCCTGCCCGGTGTGGATATACACTCAGAGTAACATCACACAAACATCTTATTCACCTGAGTACATTACACCAACACAGCAGATTTCATGATTATTAGATTATACTGATATCGAAGGAACTAGACTCAGTTCCGAAATATCGCATACTCGAACCGTCCTGACCGCGTAGCTCAGTTGGAAGAGCAATTGGGCTAGTATTCCAAAGGTCGTAGGTTCGAATCCGGCCGTGGCCAGGCATGTTTTTCAAGCCTGCCCGGTGTGGATATACACTCAGAGTAACATCACACAAACAGGATTACACATGTTATAGATTGTGAAGCATATACACCCAAGGGTCGTACATTGTTATGTGAGGTTTCTGTTTATTGTATTTGTGAGAACAGATGTGAGTCGTATCAGATATATTTTCCCTGTGTTGATTTTAATGAACATGGTTGTGTAAAGTATCAGATAGATCATATTCATGGTTTACCCGTGGTATGCAAACGGTTGGATAGTAATTTTTTACACATCATGAAATGATGATGTTTTTGCAAAGAGAATTTATGCAAAATGCAGATCTTGTTGCATATAAGGGTGGTACAATAGAAAAAAAACTGCTATCAAAAATGGGTGTGAAAGGAATAAATATTGAAATAATTCGTTGTGATAAGTATACAAATTTGCTTACCAAATATGGTATTGTCTCAAAATGTTGTCCGTATCATCTGTATAACACATGTCATTGTTCAAAACATGAAGTGCAGGTTTTTGGTTATTTTTTACTGGAAATACTAAACTATGATTGTACTTCAGAGAAATTGAATGAAAAAATTACACATTGTGAAAATTCAGCGGAATAATGTCTTTTGTTGGTCAGCGAGTAACTGCAGTTGAAATATTTGCTAAATTGTTAACAAATTATCCCTACCACCCTTATCTTTGGGTGTTACATAGTGTTTGTAAGCATTTGCACAAGTATAGACCCCTGTTTCATAACCAAAAAGTGATTAAAAATATCAGCGAAGAAACTTCGTGGCTTGGTGGAAGTATGCATTTTATTCGTGATTTTTTGGCTCTTGATGATACAAAGCCCGACTGTTGGTATGCACTGACAACGAAACATTGTGATGACGAGAGTGGGACAGCGAAAGTGTATTTAATTCCGCCGGAATGGGTAAAAAGAATTGTGATTATTAATGGTGAATTTACATTGATGAACTATGAATTTTGCTGCCGTCAAGTGTTGAAACATACTGATTGCAAAATTGTGAGGTGTAAATCGCATAGTATTAAACAGTGTTATCATTTGGACAAATATTATTTTCATGTGGGGTGGGGACCTTGTTTTTCAAGGGTTGATCATGTGTTTGTAAAATTAAATGTATTTGTGGGTTTACGTCAATTGTCTTTGATGTTAGAGGAGAATAAGTTTAGTGAACCTGCACAGATGATATATGCGTTGGGTCAATATGACTTTATACCCTATCAACAATTAGATAAAGAAACAGATAAAATTGTGGATGTAATGTATTCTGGAAGATATTTGAAAAACATTTTAAGTCATATTTTAGTGTGTCGTAAATGTAATAAGGGATTGTTGTTATTTTTGCGTCTGTTAGACGAGTGTATAGTTCGTGTTCAACCATACCCTGATCATAAGAGTGACACTGAAGGTGTGGTGTATAATAAAGTAAATATAATAATAAATTTACGTGCAGTAATAAATTTACGTGGTGTTTCCACAAACAAAAACAATTAAAGTAAATATACCCTGTAATGTCTATGTAGTAGATGCAGAGTTTGATATGTTGTTATTTAATGCTTTTAATGCACCGAAGGACGGCAGTGTGTCAAATATTGATATATGTAATGACATTGTGAATGGTTTTTTTGATAAAAATGTGTAAAATAAAGAATTTATATATGAAATATAAATGTGAAACATATTGTGTGGTTGATTGTCGTGGGTCAGAATTTATTATTGTGGGATGTGTGCGTATTATTGGAAATAATAATTTGGCGCTGTATAGCACACGACTTTTTGAATTTGGATTGATTTTACGATCTTTTTCTGAAAAAACGATGTTAAAAATTTCACAACATTACCAAGATCAGTTAGGAGTTGGGTTGTGCAGAATTCTACATTCTTCTCAGTTGTGGTTTGTGTATTGAAACAGAAAGATGGTCAGCACGCGTACGTATTATTTTGAGACAAACACTACGCTTTACATGTTGAAGCATGTATTGCGTTTATATAACGCTGGTTCAAAAAGATTGTTTTTTTATAAATATATCCACTATCGTGTCGATGGGTCGCTTAAAACTGTGGGTATATTACAGTTTAAAATACGTTATTCACCCACAGCATTGAAACGGTATTTGGCTGGGGAGGGTGTGGTTATGAATGTTTTAAAACCTGTAAATAAACCCTTGGTTTTGACGCATATGCGTATTTGGGTTCTACAACAATATCATCGTATTTTGGATTGTGAGGAAAATGGTGTATTTTGTTTTGGTGGGAGACAAAGAAGTGTTGTTAATGCTATGCAACCCTACATCGATGCTCTGATGTCGTCGTGTGAACCTGTTTTTAGTGATAAATTGCCTGGTGCAAAAAAATTATGGTTTTATAAATATATGTTGGCAAGAGCAAAAACACCCGTATAAAAACCCGAAATGTTTGCAGATGAAGTCAGTGCGTTTCAGTTATGAATGAGTGCGGATATCTATGTTGGAGACTGTCGAAATTTAAAACGAACCGGATATGAATTTTAAGTAATTTTAAAAATGGAAAATAAATTATTTTTATTTATATACAAACGGTCTAAGTTTAAGGGTTACCTTATTTGGTAATAGTATTTTTTTTAAAAAATTGTAAGTTAATTTCCTGTACAAAGTGAATAAAAGTGGGTTTTTTCACAAGAAAATTATCAGTTTGATTTTGAAGACATTTTTAAGAGATGCATCGGTGTATTAACACGTCATCGTAATAAGAGAGAAAAATATTTATATAAAAAGAGAGCAAAAGAAGATAGAAATGTAAGTTTGTTTTTTTATTTTAAATTTCTATTGATGATACATGTATGATATAGGTACTGTATTTCTACGGCGTTTTGGTGCTCCGTGACGGGTTGCGTAACCAATGCCAGCGCCGTTTTGAATAGCTGTATTTTTACTGGGTGTTTTCAATATTTTGGATCCTATTTTACGACCAAGATTTATCAGCTTTTGTTTCATACTTTGGGTTATTTTGTGATTTTTAATTTTTTTCAAAATATTTCCACGGTCTTGTTTTTTTGATCGTTGTGTTCGTTTGCTCTTAAAGTTGCCTCCATATTGTTTCCGACGACCCATACTGAAAAGGAAGATAGAGTTAAATTGATTCAGGATTTAGCGTACATATGTTTTTATTCATTCCAATATTCGCGTCCATACAATGTAAATATTTCCCGGTGGGGTGGTATTATTTGTGTGGCTTTTAAGCGTAGCATTTGACGACCTTTTATTTTAGAATTATTGTGGAAGACTGTGCCACGAGCGTCATTGGCAAATTGTGCCGCTATGTCGGTTGAGTGATTTGCATCTATACATTTTCCCTTACTATTGCATACGGTGTAATCGGCACGACCATCGCCGTACTTGTTGTCAATTTCGGCTTTTGTTTTTTTTCTTCCTGTGTATTTAGATATAATTTTTCCGCGCACTATAGGTTTTTTCCACGCAAATAAACCTTTGCCACCACCAAGAACATTAGAGGGTTTGATTCTTAGATTATCTTGTTTTGCCAAATGAATCCAACATTTTTTAGTATGCGCTGTACGTTTGCGACATCGTTGTTGTAACATAGTATTGCTTACGCATCTTTGTGATTTTCGTATACTTTGCGTCGGTTGTCTAGCTTGTCTGGCTCTGTTAGTATATTTATTAAGGAAAGCAATAAGTCGTGAATTTGACATTTTTTTTTGTTTTAATAAATAGCGCGAATACCGACGTAGATATCTTTGTTGTTTTTTTTATGAATTTAATAATGTTTTCTATTTTAGAAGTAACATCTGTGGGTACAGCAACATCTGTTTGAAATACGTTTAGTCTGTGACGTAAAGTATTGATGGAACATTCTGTTATAACATCACTATCAGCTGCCCATTCGCCGATACAATCCGGGAATATATAAGGTGAAAATAAAATGTTTTTATCGTTATCCACACATTCGTATGCTATTTTTTCCTGTTTTATTTGTGTCATCTTTTATATATATTTCAATGTGAACTAGTTCTTCACCCATTTTTTGTGATCTTGCTGTGAAAGGGTTGTGTGTGTGAAATGGGGCAAAAATTATGTTTGGGTGGTAGTAATGACACACCGTTGGTGACTTTAAATTGTAATTTTGTAAATGTGAATAGAAGTCCTAATACAGACCTTGATTTTACAGACTCGGGAGATGATGGTAGTGAAAAACCAGAACCAAGATTAAATTGTTGTTGTTTTTCATGGCGACGTCGCAAAAGCGGAAACACAAAGATGAAAATGACGATGCCAACGAAGAAGAATATGATTTAAGCGATGAACAACTTCACGAAATAGTACGTATGGTTCGAGCTAATGATGATATTGAAGTACCACCTACAGTGTTTAATTTAGATAGTGTTTGCGTGAATAGACGTTTTAATAACAATGAATATATTTATGAGTAACATAGGTGCAAATAATATGACTACATTACCCGGTTTTTTAGACAATTTACGCCGTGTGTTTCAGTATCTTATTAATTTGATGTATTATAATGCAAATTCGTATAAGGATAAGGCTCGTTTCTACATCTCTCGAGCACCGAGAACACCGTTTTCTACAGCTATTTTAAATGTCGAAGATTTTACAACTCAAATGTTTTTGAATATTTTTGAACGACATATGCAAAGTAACGCGCAGGAAATTATAAATAATGGGTGGTCTAGTGTTGTGAGTGTTTATATTTTTCCCAATGATTATGTGCCAACAAATGTGAAACGAAAGAAAACTAATCATCGTCTGTATAAACATTTGGGGCAAAATCCAAAAGAGTCTGGAAGCGGTCGAATTATTGCACAAAAGCATGGGCGTGAAGTGAGAAATGGGGTATTTCAGGTGGTATCGGGCACAACAAAACATTGTTTTGCATTGGCGTTACTTGTGGGGAAATCTTTTTTACAAAAGGATAAATATTTTGACATATTGGATAGGAATAGAAACGCTGACTTGACGAAACTGTATACAACGGACGAAATAAATGATGTTTACATTGCGGCGGGGTTACCTGTAGGGTCTGTGCGTGTTGATCAGTTATTTTATGAGAAATATTTGGCTGTGGATGATATTCATTTGGTGGTTTTTTCTAAATCCTTGGATGACAGTATTGTTTATATTCTCGGCTAGATGAACATGAGAATTGATGTCGATTAACTAATAACATAGTTTTTTTGTGGTTAAACAAGGGTCATTATGATTTGATTCTTTCACTGTATACTTTTTCGCGGTGTAATAGTTCACGGTATTGTTTTGAGTGTATGTGTTATTTTTTACGCGGTGAAACAAAATCTTTGCATGTTTGTAGAACTATGCATAGTTGTCAAAGGTGTTACAGTTCAAATGGTGTATGTAAAAAGGAAGATAATTTCGAGATTGTTTGCTCGGAATGTAGTGTGTTATTTTGGAATCGTGATTGTTTTTCAAGACATTTGACAAAACGCATTTTTAAAAATTCTTGGGGTTCATATGTTTCACTGTGTATGTATTTTTTTTTTTGCCCCACATGTTATAAAACAGTTCCGAGAATGACTAAAATTACAAGTAAAAAAGCAACGAAACATCAATGTGATAAAATTTTCTGTACACATTGTTGTAAAATAAAAACAAAAGAGCATGAATGTTTTATGAAAATATGTAAAATACCAAAAAATCCAAAATTACCCACATTATATTTTTTTGATTTTGAAACCCGTGTGGATGAAAATGGTTATATGGTTCCTTTTTATTGTGTTATTCAGAAAGTTTGTTCAAAATGTGATGAGATTGGGTTTATAAAAAATAAGGAAGGGTTTACCCCACATACAGATAATATTCATTGTGATACGTCTGTGAAATGTGTACCTTGTTGTGGTTATAGACAGTATGTGTTTGAAAAAAACAACGGAGATATAGTTCAGGATTTAGTAGATTTTATGTTTGAACAATCTGAAGATAGCACGTGGATAGCACATAATGGGGGTCGTTTTGATACTGTTTTTTTGTTGAGAGAGTTGTTGGTAAAGCGTAAAATTATACCCAAAGTGATTATGAATGGTAATAAGATTATGTGTTTGGAAATCGAAACACATAAGTTGAGAATAATTGATAGCTTTTTATTTTTAAGTATGCGTTTGAGTAAATTTCCCGAGGCTTTGGGTATACAAGATTTAACAAAGGGGTACCACCCTTATCATTTTACAAATTTGGACTATGTAGGACCCATGGTGGGTTTAGAATATTTTGACCCACCACCTGAGGGTACTAAGGAGCGAGATAAATTTGATTCTTGGTATAATGTACAGAAAACTAAGACTTATGTATTTCGAGAAGCAATTTATTATTATTGTCGATTAGACGTTGACATATTACGCCAAGGGTGTATTATATTTGCAAGACTTATAAAAGAGATTACGGGTATTTTTCCATTTTACGATCATACATGTCATACGGTGGCGGGTTTAGCTTTAAAAATATATCGTAGTAATTTTTTAAAAGCGGATGTAATTGGGCAAATACCACCTACGGGTTATGGGGCCGATGTGAATCAAAGTGCAATTGCATTATGTTGGTTAAGGGATATTGAATTGCAATTAGAGAGTGAGGATAAACATTTGTCAAGTAAATTAAGTGGTGAGGGTGAACAAAGTATTTTAGGGCGATATGGGTTTTGTACTGAAAATGCAACCATTTACCAGTTTCACGGTTGTTTTTATCATGGTTGTGAAAAATGTTATGAAAGTGATAGTTACAATAAGGTGAATAAGGAAAAATTTTATACGTTGCGTGAAAAAACCCGTCGTACTACATTACTTTTTAGGAGCAATGGATTTAAGGTTATTGAAAAATGGGAATGTGATTATGTACAAGAAAAGAGATATACGTATAATATGTTAAACCAATTACGTCATAGTGATTTTTTTACGCATCTAACACTGAACCCGCGTGATGCTTTATTTGGGGGGCGAACATCACCTGCCAAATTATATCATGAATCCTTGATTGAAAAAACTCGTTACTATGACTACACTTCCCTTTATCCTTATGTTCAGAAAAAATAGAAGTTTCCTATTTCACATCCGGAGATTATAAGAGGTGTTGAGAAATGTGCACGTGTTGAAGTGGCACACGTATTTGGATTAATAAAATGTAAGGTTTTAGCACCAACCCACCTTTTATTTCCCGTTCTACCTGTGAGAACGGATAAATTAACGTTTCCTCTTTGCCGTGCTTGTGTCGAAACGCAGTGTGACATATGCGTACATGATGATGAACAGAGAGCTTTGTATGGCACATGGGCAAGTGTAGAAGTTCATAAAGCTATCGAAAAGGGCTTCGCAAAGAAAGCGTCCCAAATACTCCAATCTTTAATAACAATACTTTGACTTCTGATTAAATAATGATGTATCTCGTCTGTAGGGTAAAATGTTGTGTAAAAATTGACAAAAACGGAAGAACATAAATGCATAAAATTACGAATATAACTTGACACAAGAGCTTCAGTTAATCCATACTGTATTTCCCTTCCACGTCTTGTTAGAGTAAACGAAAGTGTATTTAAATCCACATACACTACGAACGCTTGTTTTCATTTATAAATCAGCAAAAATGTAAACGTGTCATTGTCACAATGAGTTAATAATCTTTCAAACAACACAACATACTTGTAAAAGTGTCCTTGTGATATTATGGTCCCCATTTTTTTAAAAATATCACATTACATAACACTAAATTAAATTCAAGAATTAAAAACCTGATAAATTTTTTTAAAAATTCTTATTAAATAACATGTGTAGACTACAAAAACTTATCATTTTCAACATGGGTAAGAAACAAAAAGGTGGTAACTTCAGGGGTAAAAGACATCAACGTGCTAAAAAACAAGATGGTTTTTTTTTACCCTTTTCCTTTTTAGGTCAACTCTTAGGTAGTGGGGGTAGAAGAAGACGTGCGCCACCGCGACGGCGCAGACCCCCACAGTATTACAGACCACCCCAATACAGAGCACCACCCCCACAGGGTCGCATACAAAAACGATATCGGCAACGAGGTGGGTTTCTAACAGATTCTATAAACACGGGTATACTAGATCATTATGGTAAACATAAACACCCAACTGAATCTAAGAAAAACCAAAAAGGTGGCTACATGCATAAAAGAGTCAAAAACGCCTTCTGGTAAAAAAAAATTACTTTCCCTTTCAGGTGGGTTTTTCTCAAAACTAATGACTAACATGGCGATTGGTATGGGGCGCCTTTCGGGAAAAAGCAACCCACAAGCAGAACAAAGTCTTAAAAACCGCATGGATGGTGCTCATAAAAAAATGTGGGTAAATCAATGTATTAAATTTTACAGGTGGTATCGTTAAAGGAGAATGGGGTGCACACAATCTACCCGGTAGGATATTTGCAAGAAACCCACCCTATTGGGTTCAGCAAAGACTCAAAAACCCGTAAAAATAAGGTTATAAATAACTTTTATTTATTGTACAAATAATTTACAAATTAAATCTCTTCACCATTAAAAAACACAGCTGGTATATTAATATCACGGCAATACTTCTGTACAAGTGTTATCATGTCTACATTCATAAAGTAGTTCACCGTAAAAATTAAAATTTTCAAAAAGACAATACTTTAATATGCCTTTTTGTCCACAAATTGTCTTTGCAACCCTCGGTATTGTACACCATGGCGAATCAATACACGCCTCACAAGCAAGCTCAGTACACACATAAGTTAATGTGTCAAACTCGTGAAAGCACGAACCACACCCCCCGTCAAGCTCGGCACAACAATAAATTTCTTTCTCTGCAAGGTAGATCATGGGTTTATTGCAAACACATCGTAAATGGTGTGAAACAATTTGAGGGATAGATTTACGATAAGTGCATTTTTGCAAAGCACACAAATAAATAGGTTGAAGTTCATTCTTTAATTGTATGCTACGTTCCTTTGTTGGATCACTAACATCTTTACCGGCTGTCACACGTTCCACGGCAAGTTTCGTGTACTCGTTACATTCACACTTTTCATGCGTGTGCCAAAATAAATACGGTGCGATTATTTGTACAATGGCAAAATATGGTTTGCAATTTGCATCATGTGCAGCAATTTTAAAACCACATTCATCGGTACCGCATTCATAGGTCAACATCATTTCATTCGAATCGGGACGTACATGTTTCACAACAAAAATCACTTTTTTTTCACACCCACACTCTAACCGTAAACATCCCCAACGTCCTTCATTTTTACCATCCCACGATTTACACACTGCGCATTTACAATACACTTCCGAATGGTAGACAACTTTTTTGGACAAATTCATTGCTGCAAATGAAAAAAAAACAAAAACTCTTTTTCCCCAAAAAACTCACAAAATAAAAAAAAACTTAATTCAACCCTTACCTGCTACACAATCTGCCAACCAAGCATAATATTTTCCTCTGAATGCCATCATACCCTATATGGTAATTCTGTAATTTTTTTTTAAACTTCCGGCAAATAATACAAGTATTAATTTACTCGGACAAAAACAATCTAACCAAACATGTCTCAAACACCATGTGCTAGCGCTATGCCCCACGTATATGAAATGCGCCTGCACGAGCAACTGTGCCGAGTGTTTGGCCGCAGTTGCAGGATATCACGCAATATATCAAACACTTCATCAGGAGAAAGCAATACCCACAACCCCCCAAGGAAGTTGCAAAAAAACCTCAAACCTATCCCGCCACTCAAACGACGCAGACTAGCTACACCCCCACCACCACCACCATCACCTAATGGCACAGAAATCGACGCAACCCTCAAACAGTATCGTGAAAAAGCAAACGGAGGGTATTACTGTTTTACACATCAACAACTACAATTCGAATCCTGTTGCACGAACTGCAGAAGAACAAAAAAAAACAATTGAAAACGGTCAAGTCAGGTACCCACCTTGTGGAATAGAGATATGACTATATTAAACAATCGTCTGAATGAAATTTTTAATAGTAAAGAAATGAATGATACATTTCAAAAACTAAAAATTAAAATGGAAAACGATTATAAAAATAAATCTTTTTAATACTGTATCTAGTTTTAGTTTGTTCACAACCCCATAGGTGGGGGGGGGGGGTATGTAATTTTCTATCATCATCAAAAAATTCTGTAATTTTCTCCTGATCTTCTTCATCATCACTTAAATCCTTCTCAAATCCTTGAAAGTACTGTTCTTTCTCCTCCTCAGTAAAGTTCTTCAACACACACTCGCCCCGTATACATCCACCCTCGCACTTTTCTTCATCCGTCTTAGACAATTGAAAATCAAGTCGGGACTGAAAATCAAGTCGGGTACCGCACTTTTCTTCATCTATCTTTCTTTTTTTTATCGTCGGTTCATCGGGTTTCATTATCTCCTCTAACTCATCATCACTCCCCTCCAATATATCTGTTATTCTTTGAGCCATTTTTGATTTTTTCTTAACCAAACTTCATACAGTATAAGAATATATATAGCAATAAATACAACGACAACAAAAGTACAATTCATGAAGACGGTTTATATATAAAAATTAGTTCCAACCTGAAACTTCCGTTTTATACACACACACACACACATTACCATATATGGTGATGACAAAACTAAATAAAACAATGTGAACGCTAACTAAAAATTAAAAAACCAAAACATGGGTTTAACTCCATATCAATCAGATTTGCACCACCTTCCTACACGGGTGACATCGAATCCAGTTGTATAACACTCATATGTTCGGGAGTTTCTACTATCACTAAATTTACAACACTTGAAAAAGGCGAAGTACTCAAAGTATTCACCCTATACAGCGGTATAACATCCCAATACTTAGATGATATAGCATCTAAACGCAGCAAACAATGGTTTTTAAATATACTACGAGAAAAAAATGAATCAACACAATGTTTCAGAATATATTAAGGTATCTATTAAATATTAACTATTTATACTATAAATGTGTCGCAAAAAAACAACTTTACCCATTAGTATAAGAATGAAGATTGTGTGCTCAAGTGTAACTACCACTATGGAGAAAGAAACTCATACGGTCGATGGAAAACCTATGACCATGGCAAAAATCAATGTGAATCTAATCCAGTACATGTATTTACAGAATCTAACAAGGGAAGCCGTCCGCATTTTACTGCTTCCCGTCAAATCAAATCCTTTAATTCATGGTCCTCAAGTAGTTACTTTGTATAATCACAATATCCAAGAACCCCTTCGAATATGCTCCATACCACCTCTGAACTGTATTCTTATAGACACGGTAAATATTTTTTTTTTACATTTTTTAAAATTTTATTTTTATCTAAAATAATTTTTTTTCCTTTTAAGAAACGCTGTAAACACAAAATTGACAACCTGTACGAAAATATCACTTCAACTTGGTTCATAGAACATTGTGACAAACAGGAAGACAACGAAAGATTCTATACTTTGTATACATAAAAATAAAAATTCTTTTATACCATATATGAAAATGCTTTTTTTATATATATATATATATATATATATAAACAAAAAAACCACAACCACATACACAAACACCGCAATGACTACGTATGTACTACCCAAAATTTCATATTTGCGAAACAATTGTCAAGACACCTACTATGTCAGACTAACCCCCAAAAAAATGCAAGTACAAGATTACCATGAAAATACAATCGCTATTGTATTAAATGTGGACTCTATGTATACAATTATGACATTTCAAAAAGGTGAATACCTCAAATTAACTACGGTAAGTAAAACCAATAAAATCGCGTGTACACACAGTAAGATCATTTTTTCTAATTTTTTTCTAATTTTTACGCAGATTGAAAAACCATGTATTGAAAAGATAAACCAAATGGTAGAAAAGATAGCCCAAGAAGAATATGAACAAAAAATCATTGAACACTCACAAAATTTTTTTGTAATAGAAAATGAATAAAATGTAAATACAAAAAAAAAGCTAATAAATTGTTTTTACTCTATAAACTGTTTATGGTTTTTTACTATATCTGTTCGTATATTTTACTGTATCTGTTCGTATACTTCAGCATATCTCCCTTTCCCACTTCGAGCACGTTGACGCACATGATACAGCTCTTCGGGTAAATACGCGACACCCCATTCCCTTAAAAACCAACTGAACTCTTTACACGCTCGGCCGTAGAAACCCGCATGCTTCAGTAAATCTGGAACCTTTTTCACATAATTCTCCAGAGTGCGAGAACAATTCATCTCAGAAATTTCCTGATCCACCAAATAAGCTAAAATCTCCATAAACAACTCTACTTGATCATCACAACCACCAACCCAACCGGTAGGTTTTCCCATTATTTTTTTTTACTACTGTCTCTGCTACACAACACTATTAAACTAAAAAAATTGTAAAATAACCCAGACAATTTATAAATCTTTATTTTTACCCATAATACATTTACCCTGTCACATTAAGTTAATACTAACATTCTAATTTTTTACTCTGTTCTTATAGTTCACTGTACTTTTTAACTACATTTAGAACTTTTACCCGTTCTAATTTTTCACTCTAACTGTTTGTATATTTCACTGTACTTTTTAACCTCCCCGTTAGGACAGAGAGCTGCCAAACGCGTACAATACAATTTTTGAGGTAAATCAGGTTTTTTCATCAAATCTCGCTCCTTAATACCCGTTTCGGGTAAATATTCGACATCCCAGAGATTTAGGAAATCAGCAAACTCCTCACACGCGCAAGAATAAAACCCTATCTGCATTAAATCTGGAACCACTTTCTGATAATACCCAACATTACGACTACCGCGATTCATATCACAAATTTCACGATCAACCAAATACGCCAAAATCTCTATAAACAACTCTACTTGATCTACACAGCTACCTGTTCAACCCCCGTAGACATAAATTGACCCCTTTCATTATCAGCTGTTTTCATAGCTTCCAAATGTTTCTCCAAACGATATGTCTGTAAAGTACCCACCAAAGAAACACGACATACAGCACAAAAACGAGCTTTAAAATTCTCACTTGTAGGAACCACACACATTTTTGTATGGGGACAATGTACACATGACTCACCACAAGACATAGTATATTGCGCCAACGCTTTCTTTTCGATCTCTTTATCACTCTCCATACTGTAAGCACTAAACTCCATTTAAAAAAACCCCTGTCTTTTGGTATCATCCGTCATATCAACGTCACATGACCTGAACAAATTCTTAGTATTATCTTTCACGCCATCACCTTTGTCACCTTTAACGTCGGGCACCATAGCAACAGTTTTCTTTTTTTTAACATTTCCAGCTTCGACATTTATCTTACGCTTTTTCTTTGCCATTTTCAAACGATAATAATGATCAAGATTCACACCCGTAAGCTTTTCCAATTCATCTTTAGCCTTTTGCAAATCACGACACACAACGTGCATTTTCATCTCTTTACAATTCAAAGTGTAAGTAAAATTAATACCTTGAACAGCCATTGGAACTGTCAGATTACCAATCATCAATCTTTCCATTTGCAACATTAAAACATTGTACAGACACACGTTATCACACACAAAATCCGGTATCAATTCTTGTTTCAATAATAAATTTACCAAATCCTTAATGTCCCACGAATCCTTTATAGCGTCAGACAACTTACGCTCATCCTCCTCAAACATAAAAGTTTTATTACTCATCCATTGCCCCACTATCTTCTCCCAACGATGTGTTGCACTCTCCATAACTCTCTAGACCAAGAATGAAACAAAAACACTAAAAATCACACTCTTATGATAAAATATTTTGAAAAATACCGCGTTGTTTCTTACAAACCAATCAGCAGCCAACACACGTCACAAGCCCCGCCCCCTCACCTCTGCAAAACAGCGCGCCAATTTCAAATCGCTTCAGTTCGGTCAACCAAGGCTTCGGGGTAACAACGCTCCTCGCGCACACACGTCTATGACGTCACCGTTGTCATCACAACGATTTAGTGCGTGAACCAGCATAGAATTACAGGAACACCGTGTAGATTTAAAATTCCTGCATGCTAAAATACTCTTAAGTAAATCTGCATATTCGACCTACAAAATCCCCCCCGTCCGTACAGACCCTGCCAACGCCCTACCACACCCCATCTCATAATACTAATCCCAGTTAAATCTACACTGGTTCCCGCACCCCCTTTTTCTTTTTTTTTTTTTATATATACTACTCTCACATTTTCAGTCTCTGGGCATGGTTTAACTCTAGGAATAGGACAGCGATATATACTTTCCAAATCTGTCCAAAACGTTTTTTCTCGAAAAGATGTATTGATAATATCCATTAATTGTTGTCCGAGATCTTTACATAATCTTTAGTCAAGTTGACAAGGTAATTATTAAATTCTTCAGTTGACTCTGAAGATGTCAGTGGTTCTCCATTTTCAGAGTTTGAGGGAAATCTGTTGATTTTTACTGGAAGTACATATTTTTTTTGATCGTCCTCCACCAAGATTAGGGTCGTTAGATCGCAGGGGTCTGATTTTCTTTGTGTAGGCAGTCTTCGCCAAGTCAGATAATCGTGATTTCAAATGCAGATTTTCATTAGACAATTTGCAAAACTCCTCATGGTTATTATTCTCAACAATTTTAGTTTGTTCTGCAATTTTTGTCATCAGAGCCATTACTTTGGACTAAATATTTTCTTTAAATATATTAAACTGTTCTTGTACAGGGTTCAGGGTTGATGATTTTGACAGGTTGTGGCTTAAAAGGGGTTGAACTGTCAATAGATGGGGCAAGGGATAATTCATATGCCAAGGTCTTCTGGTGTGATACATCAATAAATTCCTGTAGTTGGTCTGGAGATAAACTATCATAAACAGTTGAGCTGTCATAAACAGGTATTACTGTTTCACGATTAGGTTCAATACTGTCACTGTACATACCCTTTCTGCCAGCTTCCAACGTAGTTTGGGCGACATGTGACGATTTATCCTTGGTAGACAGAATGGGGTCTGGAAATTTACTATCCAACAATGTGGTCACTGTTGTTGTGCTTATATAAGTAAAGTTTTCAAAATATCTCCAGTTTTACCTTTGAAAGACAAATTACCAAGATCATAGTTAGACGAAATAATTAGATCATCCCGATGCCGACCAGAAGCCATGTTGACTGATAAAAATATTTGTAAATATCTTTAACATTTCAAAAGTCTCAGACCATTTAAATCTTTTGCCATCATAAGTAAAACATTCCTCTTCTTTGTAACGTAATATTTCTTGTAAATCCCAGTTAAGAGGGTTAATTTGAGTCCAACTAACAGAGTTCGTTTCAAATGTACCGTTCGCCATTTTGATTAAATGTCACACCACTCATCCACTAATGAACTTATTAACTCGAACATGTTGCTAAATTTAGTTTTTGTTCGTTTGGTCATCAACTTGTTTGCTTTGTCTTCTTATATTTGTGTTTAATTGCTATGTTTGCTTAAATTTTGCAATCCCGTTATGAGAGAACTATCTCTGTGTGGAAATTCCAGTCATTTGTAACTATAGTACTCTATAGATGTGTTGCAATGGCAAACTTGTAAAATAAAATAAATAGATAAATTGGAAGCTTGTTAACATTGCAGCTATGTTCAAGAAAAACGACCCCACATTACTGGGTAATTACCAGCCCATTTCTCTATTGAACACATTATATACAGTGCTAGAAAGATATGTATTCAATCACTGTTATCAGCATCTAAGCACTATCATCACTCATCTACAACATGATTCCTTAAGGCTAGGTCTACTACAAGTCAGTTACTCGACGTATATAATTTACAAACTGGATTTTGTTGCTGGTGGGACAGAAGTTGACACCATTTATCTCGACTTGACTAAAGCCTTCAACATGGTTTCACATACTCTCATGTTAATGAAACTGGAAAATTATTGGGTTAAAAGGTCTCTTCTTGCTTGGTTTACTAGTTACCTTTCTGGCAGACAACAAAGGGTTGTCCGTGTAGTCATCTGGAAAAGACTTACAACTTGGCAGGACAATTCTCGGAAATTATTACAGGTGGGTATACTATCTAAAGGAAAGATTACGCTGGTGGTGGCGTTTCGTTATCAGTGAAATCAAGCTTGTTTGGTTCATCCCATGAAATTCCAGGCCTGTCTGATCTCGAAGTGACCTCACTGGAACTAATAACTCACTCGAAGCTAAAGTTCCTGCTGCTACAGATCTCCTAATAGTGAGAAAAATAGGTTGGACAAATTCAACTCATTTTGGCTTGATGCTCTTCACGCTATGAAAACATCTTAATTTGTGCTGACTTTAACCTCCCTAAAATTAATGGGAAACCGGTTCAGATCACAGGTGTGTAGATGAAGTTGCGTTTACAGAACAATTATATGATTTCTACTTAACCCAGGTCAACAACTTATCGACAAGAGGTGATAATATTCTTATCAGCAGCGTAGCAAACCAGGTAGGAAATATCACAACTCTTGACCCGACTCAAAGTGGATTATTTACTGACCAATTGTTTTCCATCTAAAAACTTCCATAAAAGCGAGCACGAAGCTGACTAGGACTGTTCTTGACTACCGCATGGGTAATCTTGATGACTTCCGTACTGTTCTTGACGCAATTGATTTAACCAGTTCAGTTCAATCAAATAATGATATCAGCACCAGCTGACAATATTAGGATACTTTTCTGAACGTAGGTAAGGACTATATCCTGACTAAAAAGATCAAAGGCCTCACCTCCGTCGATAGATGGTGACATTATCCACACAATATGAAAAAACCCAGCAGTAAGTCGAAAGCTGTGGTCATCTCCAGCTGACACGCTGAAAGTCAAAATCAAAGAAATGCGAGCCAACGTTAAAAAGGTGATTAGTATTAGCCGAGCAAATTTCTTTGACTCCCTTGAAGATAACTTTCTGTTTAGTTTAGTTTAATAACTTCATCATCCAATTTACAGCAGATGATTGGTGAGCAGACACCAAGATCATTGGTGAGCAGACACCAATTGAATCTGCCTACCATAATTACGAACGAATAACTTACATTGTAGTACAAATTTACAACTAAAATGAAAGAACTCCTATAGAAAATGCGGGAAATAAGATTAAAATTAAGGGATTAAGAGCCAAAGAAATAGATTAGTATTAAAATTACGGAGGTATCTAATTATTCAAAGTTTTGTAAAAAAGGTTCTCAGTTTCCTCTTAAAGGCTCCAATCTCCGCAACGGCCTTCAGATCATCTGGCAATAGATTCCAAGCTCTGATTACTCTTGGGAAATATGAGTGTCTATAAACTTCGGTGTTACATCTAATCTCATGAAAATTGTTAATGTTAAAAGATCTAATGTTATATAGACTGTTTTTTATATATATAGACTGTTTTTTAACAATATTCGAGACATCTAGATTGTATAAGTCGTTTTGGCATTTGAAAAAGAAAACCAAATCGTTCCACGTTATTCTATCTTCCAAGGGAAGCAATATGTGACTTGTTTGTGGGACCACAGTTCGGATGCATACTCCAGTTGAGGTCTTATCAACGAACAGTACAGAGCTTTCCTAATATGGACATCTTTTATATCTCTGCATACCCTTTTAACCAAGCCTAAGGTTCTATTCGCTTTCAAAGTTATCTCTTGTATGTGTTGAGACCATCGTAGGTTATCTGTCACCGAGATACCTAGGTCTTTCACTGACTTAACTCGATCCAGCAAGTCGCCATTCATATCATAATGGATATGCTTGAACGATGTTTTATGCGTCAAACGCATAAATTTACATTTTTTAGTGTTGAACTGCATCCGCCATGAACATTTGATAGATCACCCTGAAATTGTTCCTCATCAGCTTGTTTTTTATTACTCTAAACATTTTGCTGTCATCGGCATAAAGACCATTAGGGAGAGAGACGCTATTTGGTTTGGCAAGTCGTTTATGAATATTGAAAATAATAAAGGTCCTAAGATTGAGCCTTGTGGAACTCCCGAGGAAACATCCAACCAATCTGAATGTTGTCCTTCTAAAACAAACCCTTTGCTTTCGGCCAGACAAATAGCTTCCAAGCCACAATAATCGCCACAAAATCCAAACTCTCCCAGTTTTTGTAACAACAAGGGATGTGACACTTTGTCAAAGGCTTTAGTGAAATCTAGATAGATGATATCGATCTTGTTACATTTATCCAAGGCTTCCAAAATATTATGATAAACCTGAATTAGTGGCGTAGTACAATTTTTCTGACGTTGGAAGCCATGTTGCAGTTTGTTGATTCTAGAAGATATAAAAGTACTAAAGTACTTTAAAGTACTTTATACTTTATTGGGTAAATATAATAATTATTTACAAAAGACGTACTAATACTATGCATGCACAGAACAAATATTGCCCAAATGGAAGAGGTGCGAACGGAACGTAAATAATTTGTGCTATCCATGCAAGGCACCTTTCCAACAGAATACATGTAGATATAGTTTACTATGTAAATACTAATAACAAGTTTATACAGTGAGACAATTAACTCCTATGACAAGGACAGGCATGTGACATAGACCAAGTACATAACAAGTTTACATCGAATACGGTTGATACTAACATAGAATAATGATTAAAGAGGTATTATTTAAATGTTTTGACACTAGAGAATGTATTTGGTGGAGCTACTTTACAAACACTGTTCCATAATTTCATGATCCGGTTGAAATATGAGTTCTGATATGTTGTGGTTTTACACAATGGAGTCTTGAGCAACAGGTTGGGATTACAACATAGACGGGAGTGGTTATGGGTTACAAACGAGACATAGTCATGAACATTGAGATCGGAAATACCATAAAGAGCCTTGTAGAATAACATTAGATCTTTTATCTTTCTATCGTAACACAAAGGTAGTAAGTTCAGATCAACAAGACGCTCATTGTAGCTGGAGTCACCCTTCCTAGCTTTCAAAATCCATCTAGTGGCTCGTCTCTGCACTCGCTCTATCTTTGTCTTCTGTGAAATTATAGATGTGGTTATGAACACATTTTCCAGTACTTTCAAGAGGATGCATAATAAAGAGATCGGTCTGTATTTTTCCACACAAGCAGCATTTCCGTCTTTAAAGACAGGTGTCACATGTGCCTTCCTTCCATGCAGTTGGCATAACCCCTAATTTTAAGGACAGGTTAAAAAGATTACATATAGGAGGTGAAATTTGGTCGGCAGTTAGTGTCAGGATTCTTGCAGGAATATTGTCTGGGCCAGATGCTTTGTTAGGGTCCAATGCAGATAGGCAAGCGTGAACTTCACTTTCTGTCAAAACAATCTCGTTCAGGGAAAACTCATCTTCAGAATAATTTTGGGAGTCATTGCGTATATCAAAATTATTTTGTAAAAACACGGACTGAAAGAAATTAATAAACATGTTCGATTTGACTACACTGCAGGACGAGAAATCTTTACCGTACTTTAGAAATCGAGGATGATTTGGTAATAGCTTTAACAAAACTCCAAAATTTCTTTGTATTGTCCTTGAATGGCAGTTTTATATAATTTAAATAATCATTGTACTTGTTATTCAAAATTAATTTGGCCTCTTTCCGCTTAGAATTATAATTTTCTAAGTGCTTTTGTTGGCCCGATTCTTTTGCAATTCTTCTTAACTTATTGTTTTGTTGAAAGATATGAATAACATCTTTATCAATCCAAGGCCGAGTATTGTTATCTTTGATGGTAGTTTGGAGTATGTGTTCATTAACAATACTGAAAAATAAATCCATCCGATTTGACAGACTTGTGTCGATACAACTATCATCCATTGTAATGTCCCATGGGGTATGCTCAATTGTTGATCTAAGGGCATCCCAATTAACTGTTTTGAAACAACTATCGATACAACTATCATCCATTGTAATGTCCCATGGGGTATGCTCAATTGTTGACCTAAGGGCATCCCAATTAACTGTTTTGAAATTATAAACTTTCCTCTTTATGGGTGGTTTCTTGTTGATATTAAAATTGAGCACAAATTCAAACAACTGGTGGTCTGAGTTTATTACATCATCGAATATTTCTAATTGCTTCACTTTATCGGGAAAGTTAGTAAGCAGTATGTTGTCCCCTCTTGTCGGTTGGTCAATGAGTTGCCACAGAAAATTATCACGAGCAAGCTTTACAAGATCTGTATGTAAACAATCATTGCACTCGGGAGCCATAGTCTGCCAATTAATATTGGGCAAATTGAAGTCACCCATAACAAGAAACTGTGTAAAATGTGCTCTATTTGCCTTCCTTAAACATTGTTTAAGGGCCTTTAGGGTAGCTATACCTGATGAAGGAGGTCTGTGGAAGACCAGACACAAAAACTTCTTTCTATTCGGCGTCAGTTTCCAGATCAGTTCTCCTGAATGACTTAAGGCGATGTCTTACTGGAAGCATCACTCCCCCTCCACGTTCACCAGACTCACAATCTCGACAATGTATGTTAAAATATGTGTTTATAAGTAATTCAGAGTCTCTTACGGAAGGATTTAACCATGTTTCTGTGACTGCTATCGGATGGTGTTCGTTTGCAGATTCCATTGCTTTGAGATATTTTGCTTTATTCACCCAAACTTCTGGAGTTTAAATACAGACATTTTAGCTTATGTTGAGGGGTACTTCCTCGGATAGAAGAATTTGCATCACAGATTACGTCATTAGTTAGTTATAGTGATTAGTGTTGGGGTTAGGGTAAGGGTTAGATTAAGGATTAGAGATAGGGATTGGGTTATATCTGAAACCACAAACAACACAACTGGCTGATCATGTGATCAGTTCTCCTCTCCCCGAAGAACTAGCCTGGTTGAGGGTTGATCAGGTCCAGGGTTTACTTCGATATCAAATAACAGCAGTAATCTTGTACGAAACCTTGCTGTTGAATGACTGTTACTGTTATGCGATACACTTTCTTCTGATGCCTGGCCATTTTATACAATAAAAGTGTTGAGTTTGTTGTAAGTTTTCAAACCCAACACTGATAGGATTGATGCGATGCGTTGCCAAAATATCTGTAAAAGCAGAAGGGTAGTATAAACACTCTTTGGCAGTAACAAAACTGACATTATAAGTTGAATATAGTGACGAAATTGAGAATAATATGCATAGGAGCAAATGCATGACCGCCAATTGTTTGCCTGAGCCACCTTTCTGTCAAACCCAAATTGATTCTGGTCGATATTTAAGCTTAGCAGCAAAGAGTCTACAATTCCAGACACCGTGTCACTTGGAAAGGATGATGGGTACAGTGCTTAGTCCTAAATTCACTCCAGCATCCACCCCTGCTACTATCTCAGAAATTTTAATGACTACTTTGCGTCTGTCTTCAACCGAACTGATTTGGACGATTGAACATCTGTCGTCATCTCTTCTTATTTCTCCAACTCCAGACCACGCTTTCTCTCATGATATTTTCTTAACAACCGAGCAAGTTCTAAATACACTTCTAGCTCTCGACCCCGACAAGGCCACACTCAAAGAGACTGCACAACAGATTGCACCATCACCGACCAAGCTTTTTAATAGATCACTCAGCTGTGGCGTTTTTCCTGACGACTGGAAGCGTGCAAACATTGTGCCTCTGCATAAAAAGGGGATTAAACGTTATGTTGAGAATTATAGACCCATCTCACTCCTCAGCCTTATATCCAACGCCCTAGAATGGTGTGTGCTTAGAAATGCAAGAGATTACTTACTAGATTTGATCAACTGTTTTCAACATGGCTTCATCCCGGGGAAATCATGTACAACCCAACTATTAGTGGTACACAATTACATTGGGTCCTTGCTGGATGCTGGTAAGAAAACAGATGTTATCTCTATGGACATGTCAAAATCCTTCGATAAAGTTAATAATTAGATAGGAGCTCATCTATTTCATGAGAAGACGCTAATAAACTACACTTTAGTATACGCTTTAATAAGTTCTCACTTGAGAATGATGAGAAACTATAACAACAACAAAGCTTAGTGTCCAGACCTCTTTTGGTGAGAGCCAACTGAGCTATAAATGTTAGTGGATGATTTATATTATCTCCCCCCCCCAAGTCTTTAGTAAGCTTTATAACCGCAAATGTTGATAAAGACTGAAGAATATAAATTTCAAAATATAAACAGTGTCATGTCTATCTGTTTGGGCAGATATTGTCACTCTAGGTAACCCTTCTTGTTATGATCTTGCAATATTCGTAGTGCAAGTGGTAGTTTTTTGGGTTTGGGAAGGGTAGGCATTGCTGTTTCGATCAAGTTAGGTGAGGGTGGTGTTGCAGTGGGGTCGTCTGGGTGGCCAAGTGGTGGCTGGTCACAGTTGTGGTTTGATGTGGGATGACTATCAGGTTGTTTTGGTGGGGTAACTGGTTGTTGGGTATCAATGGGTTGTGGGTGAATATTGGGCCTTGTGGAAGGTGAGGGTGGCGTGATCCTGGTATTGGTTGGGCATGATGGCTTCACAAGGACTTGAAGGTCTTTTGTGATGCTTTGCAGTGGTTGTTTTCTTTGTACGGGTTGGTATTTCCTAAGGAACTTATGGTGTTCATGCTATGCAAATTTCAAATCATCATTATTCATTTCTTTAGAAATTTATTGTTTTCATGGTTTATGAACACGGAAATATTTGCATAGCATGACCAAATTGTCGGGCTGGTTACGCCACTGGGGTGGTTCTGCCGAAGCCATCAACGTGTATGGCATATTGATCAAATTGGTGTACTTCTATCACAAGGCCTGTCTTGTCCCACTTGGTGGGATGTGTGCCAGTTTGGTTTTGGATCCTAACATAATCCCTAACGATGAAGCGTGGGAGGTGCCTTGTGTGTTCTGTCCATCTTTCTTCTGCTCTCATATGTCTGTTCCAGAGTGCTTCTTTTCTGGCAGCCAGGGTGTCTCACCAGGTGGGGTGGGGTCTGTAGCGATCGGGGAGTATAGGAATGAAGTCCCTGATTGGACGGCCAAATATGCATTGAGGTGGGGATAACTTGGTATCGGGGTCTGGTGTGTTCCTGTATTGAAGAATGGCGAGCAGCATTGGTGTTGAGGTCGCCACTGGCGCTGGTGTAGTAGTAGTAGTAGTAGAACTTTATTTATCCACGCTGACCCCGTCAACCGTAGCTGATTTCCACGGGGGGGGGGGGGG